ACAGGGGTTTTGCACAACCCTGGAGTAAGGGTAAATATAGTCACCCACTAGACAAACACTTGGAGAGTCACACGGGAAAAATTAGACACTAGACAAACACTTAAATCACATGGTAAATTAGTCACTAGACAAACACATGGAGAATCACACAGGTAAATATAGTCACCCACTAGACAAACACTTGGAGAGTCACACAGGTAAATATAGTCACTAGACAAACACATGAAGGATCACACTGGTAAATATAGTCACTAGACACCTGGAGAATCACACAGGTAAATATAGTCACAAGACAAACACATGGAGAAACACACTGTAAATATAGTCACAAGACAAACACATGGAGAATCACACAGGTAAATATAGTCACTAGACAAACACATGAAGGATCACACTGGTAAATATAGTCACTAGACACCTGGAGAATCACACAGGTAAATATAGTCACTAGACAAACACATGGAGAAACACACTGTAAATATAGTCACAAGACAAACACATGGAGAATCACACTGGTAAATATAGTCACTAGACAAACACATGGAGAATCACACCGGTAAATATAGTCACAAGACAAACACATGGAGAATCACACAGGTAAATATAGTCACTAGAAAAACACATGGAGAATCACACAGGTAAATATAGTCACCCGCTAGACAAACACATGGAGGATCACACCGATTTTGTTTGAAGAATAAAGTACAGTAAAACTTGGGTTATAATAAAGTGACTGGGACTTATGAAATTACTTCACTATAATCATTATTTGTTATATCAGTATAAGGAATTGGATAAATAAGCAGGGGATGCAAGATAACTTGGCAATATTCCTGAATTCGTAATATCTGTGATATTTTTTTTTCTCATTGACAGAAAGGGTGTTTCTCTGCAAAAACTCAGCCAATGAATAACAAGTTTTTTTTTTTGATTAACAGATAAGTACCCATGTAAACATTGTGGTAGAGAATTCTCCAGCCAGGCAGGAAGGACTATCCATCTCAACAGTCACAACAAAGAGAAACAAACCAGTAAACACCCAACAGGTATTGTCAAATTTTGTCTGCGTCTTCATGAAAACTTTACTCCTTTTGCCCTCATTGCTAGAGGCCTAATTTAAAATGGCCAGGGGCAATTTTCAAACACTACATAATCCTTTTAACAAAACTGTGTCTGGTTGGAATTAAAGCAGGGCAAAAATGTTTGCTTGGGTAAAAGGGCAAATAGATAACAAGCTTTCGTTTGATCCACAGATAAGTTTCCCTGTGAGCAGTGTGGCAAACAATTCTCAGCAGCAAGCAGGGCCCTTCATCTTACCATGTTCATAACAGGGACAAAGAAACCATTAACTGCCCTATATGTGACAGAGTTTTTGAAAAGTAAGATCAACAAACAAACCATTAACTGCCTTATATGTCACAGAGTTTTTAAAATGTAAGGTAGACAAACGACCTTTGGGTCTCTCCGTCAGTCTTTCTGTCTGTCTGTAACGCTTTCGTTTCCACACGATATCTCGAGAACCCTTGAGCTTTCGCAATGAAATTTTGCATAGCATCTCCCTATGGACTAAAGAAGAACTCTGTTGATTTTGAGGTCAAAAGGTCAAAGGTAAAGTTCATAAATTTCCAAATTCTGTCTGTTATAACATTTTCGTTTCCGCGCGATATCTCGAGAACTATTTGAGCTTTTGCGATGAAATTTTACATAACAACTCCCTGTGGCCTAAGGAAGACCCCTATTGATTTTGAGGTCTAAAGGTCAAAGTTCAAGGTCGTAAATTTATACATTCTGTCTGTATGAAATACTATCCTCTCCGGGCGATATTTCAAGAAGATTTTGAGCTTTTGCAATGTCATTTTATACCAAATCTTCATAGGACCTCTCTCACCCCTCTCAAAGTGTCCTGCCCCGTTTGTTTTATTAGTATTTATTGTATTACATGTCGCTATTTTTAGCACAGGGATATTAGGAGAGTTATTACATATAAAAGAGGTTTCTCGGTGGACTTTATATTCTTATTACATCTATTGCAACTGTTTAATAAAGGTTAAATTATACATCATGAATTGTGTAAAATTTTTTACAATATCGAACGTGAATATATACATGTATGTGACTTCATGTTTGATATGATTTGTGAAATTGTAAAGCAGTTCCGTGGTCTAGTGGTATGTCTCTCACTTCATATGTGAGAGGTTCCACGTTTGAATCCCGGTCGTTCCTTTACCTTTTTTTTCCCAAAATATTTTTTTTTACTAAATGATAGTATTCAGCATGTGAAATGAAAAATTTATGATGTCTGCCTTGTACAAATTCATAAAATCATCTTTACAGTGTGATAAATATTCCTTATAAAAAGAATCTTCTATACACATAATAAAGAATAAGCAATCAAATCTTTATATCCACATTGGCATATTTTATTTGCTTCAGTATACATTTACACATTTAATTATTCTACAAATTCAGTCAAAGGGATCCGCCCCCCCCTCCCCGAACTGCGTATGGTTTACTTTTTCCCTAAGCGGGGGTCACAAATTCTCTGAATTAGCTTGTTTTCTTTTTGACGAGATTTTTTTTTTCATAAAGGGACACTCATTTGATTATTTGATTGGAGGGGGGTAGTTATAGTAGCTAGTAGCACCAGGCAAGGACAGATTATTTTTTGAAAAATTTCTTTCAAGGTGAGGATCGAAGTATATTTACATAATATTTACATATATATTCAACATTTATGAAGACTGATATCTCACCCTCTCTGAATCAAATGGTCATTCCCTAACATGTTTTATGATTTAAAGAAAACGAGGCTTATTCTGTTGATATCCTCTAACATGTACATAAAACTGTCAGAAGGGCTAATTCATGTTTGTATCTGACAGTTAACTTTTTTTTCTTATTTCAGTTTTTGATGACAGTGGACATTTTGTTTTGTATGCCACCATGTTAGGAATTAAAAGTGAGTCAATGTAGGAAGTGATAGTATTTTAGCAATCACTCATTCTGGTATTTGTAGAAATAAAGTATGAAACATACAAATGTATAAAGGTGACAAGATTTTGCTTCATTTAAAAAGTTGTACATGCATACACCAGGATACTTTGACTTTGGAAAATGTTGATGTTTTGCCTAATGGTGGCATGTAAATTTAAATAATAATTATTTAAGTGACCTGAAGTATTTAAACACCATTTGATATCTAGCAATTTACCAATGTGAGAAATTCTAGGGTATTAATGACATTGACATTTATGTTTTCAGTTATTAATCTGTACACCAATCGCTGTGTGCGGACCCTGGGGAAGCCTGAGAATGCCCGGTTCCTGCAGCTGAGTCTGTTCCAGGGTACAGGGAAGAAACAGAAGGCGGCGGTGGACGTGGAGATGGTGGCCTCCGATAACCCCCTCCTACAGAACGTCCTGTTTGATCCCATCCTCTTCTGTACTGCCTTCAAGAAGAACCGCTTCTACATGTTCACAAGGCGGGAACCGGAGGACACAAAAAGGCAAGGATTCATTCCATATCTTCATCCAAATCATGATTGGAGAAATATGTTTAGATTTATGTATTATTATCTCATGTGTATACCTTGTAGGCCTGTCAATATAATGGCCATTTATACTGAAATGTTACTTTTTCTCTTTCTCTGGTGTATCCTATGTGAAAAAAAAAATACATAAGACACTAGAACTCTGAGCTGTAATATAGTTAACTATTAAATACTGATATCATTACATTTAATATACAAGTCCATGTATTTTGGTTATCTTATCAAGCAAATTTTTGTTAAATATACAGATCTGTTTTACAAAAAAAATTATGTTTGATATTTCTTCCCCTTCTAGTGCTGATGCAGAGAGAGATGTATTTAATGAGAAACCCTCCAAGGAAGATATTGTAGCAGCTACACAGGTAACTAGTCTCTACTGAAAATCCTTCACAAGGTCATTGTTACAGCAGATAGAGTAAATCTCAGAATCAACTGCAAATCCTGAACATGGTCATTAAAATAAGAGCCAGAGTAATTCCAAAGCCTAGAAATTACAGTTGAAAAATGATGCAGTACCAGTATCTGTAGAGTAAAACTGCCAATTTAACAAAAATCATATCGATGTAAAAATTACTTCATTCAAACCAGTATTATCCCATCCTTGGTAACAATTGGAGTATTTAACTATAAAGTCAATTTTATTTGATTAATGTGATATATATATTTATTGTGTTCTTTTCCCCAGGATGCGTCCTACACAAGAGTATCTGAGTCCTGTGTCATTCATACCACTATGGGTGATATCCACATCAAATTGTTTGCCAAAGAGTGAGTGCAACATTACTGATACTAAACAGAATTTTTTTTCTCGCACATGCTTAAATAATATTCCTCAATGAAAATTTTGTATAAAAACGCATGTCCAAAAACTTACACATTTATTGTACTCTCCTTTATCAGGTGCCCCAAAACTGTGGAAAACTTCTGTGTTCACACAAAGAGTGGATACTACAACTCTCATATTTTCCACCGAGTTATAAAAGGCTTCATGATACAAACAGGAGATCCTTTGGGTCAGTGTTTCCATGTTCATGTCTCCTTTGAAAAACTTTCTTTTTTTTTGACAGGTCATTCAGGAAAGTAGAAATGGTTCCATGTATTCTCATACCCCCCACTTGAAAAGTGAGAGGATATATAGTGATCAGGATGTCCTTCTATATTTACGTCTGTCTGTCTGTATGTCAGTCTGTTATGCTTTGGGGTATGCATCTCTTAAATGCAACTCCTCCTATACCACTGAATAAAATTTAATGATACTTTCTCAGTTTCTTTATTACATTATGACATTGTGCACCTACTATTTTACATTTTGATCAGACATTTATTTCTTTACCATGGTTATAAATATATGGAAGGCAGGGGGTATCATTTAGTAAGCTCAGTGCTCACAGTACCTCTAGTTTTTATCTGCGCCTGTTCAGATTGTCTATTTCTTTTGCATGACAGGTATTGGTACTGGAGGGGAATCAATATGGGGAGGGGAATTTGAAGATGAATTTCACCCTAATCTGCGACATGATAGACCCTACACACTCAGTATGGCAAACGCAGGGCCCAACACGAATGGCTCACAGTTCTTCATTACAGTGGCACCAACAGTAAGTCTTCTGTGTTATTCATTGAATAGAATACTAGTACAAACAATGTCTTACTCTTTAACCCTTTGTATGCTTGTGTATAATTTCATTAATGATTCATGTATTCAACAGTTTTTGAACTATGGATTTAAATTAATCACAATCTTTTATACATACATATATTCCAAAGCAATTATTTATTTTTATTCAAAATGGTATTTCACTAGAAATTCTGTATAAATATTCAAAAAATGCCAGTTTTACACCAGAAGATGAAAGCTTAAGTTGATATCAAGCAAATTTTGAATTTAGGAGAAAATTTGAGTTAGATCATTAATACAGGAGATGAAATCTTACTGAAAGAACCAAAAATCAACTGCAGAGTTATCTCTCATTGCACAGAGATTTAGCATTAAAACTAAAAAAAAAAAGTCTTTTGTTGTTGTTTTATTTACTTATTTTTAATTTTGTTTGTTTACCATTTCAGCCATGGTTGGACAATAAGCACACAGTGTTTGGTAGAGTTACAAGGGGGATGGAAGTGTGTCAAGCCATAAGTAATGTCAAGGTCAATCCCAAAACAGACAAACCTTATGATGATGTACGAATCATTAACATCTCATTAAAATAAAATCATGTGTATGAAAATAGTTATCTTGTCATATTCAAGAGAGTGACTGTACAGAATGACTAATTATAAATGGAATAATGCATCGACCTATCCTTGTAATCATTAGTTTACCTTAATTTGGACTTGAAGCCATAAGATATTGCCTGTATAGGCTAGCCAGTCAATCAAAATATATAACATGAGTCATAGGAAAATGTATTGTGTTAAAAATTTAGGAGAAGATAAACTAAATTTATCCATAACAATAGTTTGTTATTAGGTTATTTCTAGAAGTATATTAGGGATGAGAATAGAAGTATTTTCTTTAAAAATTATGCAATTTTTTTTATCATAATAGCTTTAATGTTAATTCTAACTTTATCACTACTACGTAGAAGAGAAAAATCTACTTAGAAGGTTGTTATGTACAATGGCATGTAATGTTAAAATATAACATAAACTTATACAGATGTAGAGTAGAGCCTGTCCTGTTTGGGGTCTTTTGCCAAGTAAAGTATGTGATATATTCTGCTCGATTCTGTAATGAGGAGTTTAGATTTTCATCAAAACCCACCGCCAAGTCAAAACAGTGTACATTTAGTCCCCATACCCATGGTTCTACTCGGATTTGAGGAGGGTCATTTCCTGCTATACGAGAGAAGAAGCATAACCAGATAGTTGAATCATGTTGTTATGGTACATCTGTTCTGAGAAAGTTTGGGATATATTGAAAGTCCATCTTAATCTTTTGAGACCAGCGAAGCTACAGATTTGCAGCTAGTTCTCATAGATGTATTGATAATCCTGAAACAACTGCAAGATTGGAAGGTGACACGTTTAAAATTGCTTAGAGACTCTGTAAACACGCGAGAAAAAAAGAAGAACGCAATATTTCTCACTGTTAATTTTTAAAAAAGAAAGTTTGTGTGTAATTTTTGTAAATTTGTTTTGTGGGACTTAGTTTACAAATCAATCCACTTGAAAAAAAACTTCTCGAAATGGTCATTTGAAAATCCTTACCGATGGATGGTACATGTATTTTGATTCAAAGTTCGCTGGTGTTTTTTACGTCACACTAGGGGGGGGGGGGATCAGCTATATCTTATCAATCATTGCAAACATGGATGCCAGTTTGTGATATGTCAAAATAAAACATGAAAAAATCTAAGAAAAATTTATCTAACTGTATTTAATTTACGTTTTATACGCTATATTGAACTAAATTTCATTCCGCCTAATGGCCTCCAGTTTGGTTTTGGTCCGGCAAAACACGTTTCCCTCGAACCCAGTCAAGGAATTTTTCTGATGTAGTGCATATTAAGCTGTTTAAACCGTGGCCCGTGGAGCTAAAAGTGCATGACAACCCCCCCCCCCCAAAGTAAACTGAATAAAAAATGAACAGCTAGCCTTTTTCATGGGAGGTTGGGGTTCAGGTTGTCTACATATACAGTGTAGTGAGAGAGGGGAACCGGTATCTGAATAAAATATTTTAAATTAATTAAAATAATGGCATTTTACTAAAGGGGAGTTAACACCCCTCCCACTCACCATACATTGGGGTATGGCCCCTCAGTGAGTCAGATTGGGTCAATAATTAGGAAGTAAAAGCTTCACGGAGATAGAATAGAAAACAATCATCCAGAGTTCTTTGCAAGAAAATCGTTGCTTCAGTGTAGTCAATAATTATGTACACGAGCATCTCATACGGTCAAGATCCTATTTACGAGGGCTGTTCAATAAATAATGTCCTGAACTATATGTCATACATTACAGATATCGTATGACATAAAACTTGACTTTCTCTCATTATTGAATCTTTCGTGAATTTATAACAGTTTATGTGACCACTTTTCATCACATAGTTTCATCATGAGAAGCTGGGAAACAAGGGCTTTTCGAGACACTGCATTATAAATGAATGGTAAAGAATCAGTAAACAAGAGTGAAAATAAAGCTTCATTAAAGCGGCCGTAAAACTTGTTAAAAATTCCAAAGAAATATTAACTGAAATATGTGACATTTAGAGCAACCAATGCCTGTTTTATAGACAAAAGAGCAGGTCGATTTCAATGATAAAAAATTTTATAACGGGCATCAAAAATGGGTACCCTCCTTGCCAACAAAAATTATAACAACTTATGTACTGTTCGCCAAATTTCAACAAATAATATTTGATGATGTATGATTGAATTTAAGACACATAGGAAATTTGATAGACATCACATCGGGGGTAGTTTACACTGTATTTAAGAAACGTTTGGCGGTAAAAAAAAAAAACTTGATACTCAAAGGTCACCATATATTTTGAAAAATGAGTGAAAATGACAGCGTGTACGAAATTCTTAACAATTATTTTAAAATATCAGTAATTGTAGTTATCCAAGTTTGTTTTATTTTCAAACAGATATTGGAACATGAATCTATTGCTTAAAACCCTAAAAACTAAATTTATCATAAGATGTACTTGATAAAAACGGCGAATGTCTGAAAAGTGCACAGGTATGCAAGAGCACAAAGGCAGATTTATATGTAATTTTCTTAAATATTAGTGGTAATGTTGTTCAAAATCGTATTCGATAGAGACAGTTTAATTTCTGGAGGAGCCTACAAAGCACTTTTTTGGCCCAAAAATCAAAAGGTTTATTAGAGGAAGGACCCAGATTCAGGAATACACTACATTGAATTTCTCCAAGACAGCGTCCAAACCTACATGCCCTGAAGAGTAAAGGGGTTTTCGGGATAAACAGAAAGTAAATGTTTTTTTCACATTAACAAAATTTAAAGATCTTAGACATTTTGACTTGTTTCTATTTCCAAACGTGGAAAAAAGACCTTTCAGAAGGAAGAAACAAGTCCGGGAAATCATTGGATCTGCCATTTTCCAGTATACTGAGGGACATACCCAAATATGAGTTCTACAAACGATCAAAAATTGGATAAAAATGTTACGGACATGTATTTCACTTAAAAGAGATTAAATAATAAAATTATGAAGAATAAATAATTGAAAAGCGTCTTTTACTTCTTTCTGAGCACCGAGGACATTATTTATTGAACAGCCCTCGTATGTTTTTAAGGAGGTTACTATTGAAGGTGGATAGACACAGATTTGAAGTTAATATTTTCTCAAAATTTTTGTATAATTATCACAACTTATATATTGCAGTAGCATTTCACACAAAATATATTAGAAATCTTATTTCATCTAAAAGTTATTGAAACTTTTTGATGGGTATGATTGACACATCCTTGTACTTTCACAAAATTTAATTTTATTCTAAATACTTAGGAAAATTGGCCATCTTTGTTGCATATTAATGAAAAATATTAAAACTTTTATCCAGAGGAAAAATTACTACTCAGAGTAGAAATGTTTGAAAGCAAAACCCTTCACATGTATCGTCATTCCGCTTTAAGTGTTGTGTACAGAGTTAAGGAAATTGAACACATTGAATTTTGGATTCCTAGTGGAACATAGCCCTCTAAGTTTGACCTATGTTTAAGAAACTTACCTTTACCTTGAACTGCCATACTGGGGCATTAGTATTTTACAAAGAATTTTGTTAAATTTTGCTAAATTATAAGCAGTTGCTGTAGTGCTTCAATTAGGCCAAAATCAGAGATCCAAATTATATTTGAACATCAAACATGCAGTTGTTTTTTTTTTTTTAAGATTTTTTTCCCCTAAATTTTCAGTGACTCTAGTAAGTTGCAGAAATCAAAGCCAAATTATGGAAGAAGAGCATCAAACATCGCACGAAGTATCAGAAGAACTATATTCCAGGCAGTTAAATGCTGTAAAAAAATGAATGAGATCGGTAATTCATTACAGGAAGAACTAATCAGCTTCTTTATGTCAAAATTCATGAATCTTTAAAAATTGTCAAAGTTTCGACTTGTCAATTTTTAATTCCTTGATAAAGAGCACTGTAACATCATCAAAGTTTACACGTAAACATATTTCTAAAATATCTAAATTGTCGAATTTTCACCTTTTCAATCTAACCACAATTACAGTGCGATAATTGTTGTTTTTATTACGTGGAGATGGTCATCGTTAAACATGACATATTAATTTTTAATTGATTTTTATTGACAGCATTGGATATTGGTGATTCAAGTCTAGGCATGGTGGTTATCTGGGAAAGAAATAGCTCCATCAAAACTGTTGGCAAGAAAGAATTATTGGACAAGGTCCGTTCATATTAACACACAGAAATTTTTTCTGCTTATAACAGATCTCTTTACTGGTACTCTTTCAATTCACTCATAATTGTTTCGATATTGGACCCTCTTATAATGTTCTATGATTTAAATGCCAAAATGTCAAAGTTTTTGGATTCTCACCTTTTTGGATTCCAGAATGCTTTTGGAAAGACTATAAATACCAAACTCATGTTCAATTGTAAGGCAGATTTCAATTATTGGTATACACTATGATTTCAAACAGGACCCTATCGATAGATAAATTTTAAGCAATTGTAATTTCTTTGCTTGTCTTGCCTCAAAAATAAAAAAAAATGTGAAAATTGTAGACTTTTATAAAATAAAATGTGATTTTTTAGTTTTGTGGTACATCATTGGTAAATAATGAAATACAACTTCAGAACATTAAAATGGTGCTTTTAAACTGGTATCTGTATATAGGTCACTAAGGCCCTGAGTCGCCCTAGCTGTAACCATGGTAAAGTTTGCGTCCCTACGTCTTCTTCAGAAAACAATGTAGACTTTACATCAGAGGGAGGCAACAGTAGCGTGGGACTAGAAAATAATGAAGACAATTCACTCCAAACATCAGCTCAGTGTCAAAGCAGTAAGGAGGGAGATTCAGAGAAAAATGAGAAGGAAAAGAAAATGTTTAAAAAAAGTACAACTGGAAAAAGGAGTCATAGTGAAATGCTCCAGAAATCTAAAGAGATAGAGCTGAGTAGTCCACATGTTCTTCATAAGAGGGTCAAAATGACCTCACTTTTAAAATCTGTTCCTTCTATCCTAGTGAAAGTCAGCAGTGCTCAGGGTACCCAGAGTGAAGAGGGAAAAAATCTCTCAAAAACTGCTCCTTCTAAGCAAGTTAATGTCAGTAATTCTCAGAGTTCTCTAAATAAAGAGGGAAAGACACTTCTAAAACCCGAGCAGACAAAAGACGGTTGTTCTCAGAGTTTTCCAAATAGACAGGAAGAGCCACTTCCAAATCCACCTCTTGATGAAAAGAAAGACCGCAGTTCTGAGGAAATCCAAAATAAAGTGGGAGATACATGTACTCTCCCAAAACCAGCTCCTGTCCTAGTGAAAGGAAACTGTTCACAGGGCACCCCAAGTAAAGGGAAAGACACACTTCCAAAACCAGCTCCTGTCCAAGTGAAAGGCAGGAGTTCTGAGGGAATCCAAAATAAACTAAGAGAGACTCTAGCAGAATCAGCTTCTGTCCGAGCAGAAGATAACTGTTCACAGGGTCCCACAAGTGAAGAGAAAGACGCTCTCCCAAAACAATATCCTGCTATCCAAGTGAAAGACGGCAGTTCTCACGGTTCTATTCTAAGAACACAGGAAGAAACCTTGTCCTCTGTAAAAGAGGATAAAATAATTTCTACAGAAGAACTGAAAGATTCAAAAAGTGAGTTAATTTAAATTGAACTCTCAGAATGATAAAGCCTCTTGAGCTTTTATCTATAAATAAAAGCTTTGATGAAATTTAGCAGATTTATGTTAACTTGTAGTACCGTATATACTCGCCTATAAGTCGGTCCGCCTATAAGTCAGTTGTATTTAATAAGCTTGCATATCAGATGGACTGACCTCATATAAAACCATACTTTTGATAGCTCGCCTATAAGTCGGACAGTGAGTTTTAGACCAGCGATTAACTCCCAAAAAAAACGACTTATAGGCGAGTATATACGGTATGTGAATTTGCTTATAGAGTCCGTAAGTACATATTTCTAAATATACTGCATGAGGAATGGAATGGCATACCCTGAATTTTGTTTTTATATCATGTCATTATATTACATGTATATATGAATGTACATTAAATGTGCCATTTTCAGAAGTAAACAAATTTCCAAACAAAGGGAAAAATAAAGTGATTACAGAAACGGAGATAGAGAAAGTGCTGGAGGATTTTAGTTCTAATCTTGGTGAGTGCTTCTTACATTATTTTGTCTTTTGTATGAATGCATTATTGATATTTTTTGCAATTATTGATTTTAGAATGAAGTGAAAAAGAGGCTTTATTGGCAAAGGCATCTTTTCAGGTCTTTCTATCTTCATTATACATGTATTTTAATATCTTGAATGTTTGAATTAAAGTAATAATGTATTTTTTGAAGTTTGAGGATTCCTTTTTTTCAGGTGAAGAATCACGTGAGACATCCTATGCAGCAAGGTGTGTATTACCATGGTAACCAATATAAACAATTTGTATTTCACTTTAATGAACACATTATTTTAACTTCAGTGGGTTGAAATCAAGATCTGGCCTGGGGGCCATAAAAGTTAGACGAGCTCACTTTTGATCTCAGTCTCACTTTTCCACTATAAATTCTGTAAATCTGGAAAATTTTACGTCGATTTTATTTTGCGAATTCGGGTCAAAATGGTGTTGATTAATTTTTACGTGTCAAAATTTTGCTAATTACCACTGCTTTGTTTACATTTTCTCATCATGCTTATTGGTAATTTATTTTTAAGAAAAATATTTTTGCAAATGCAATGAACTCGCAAATTTGCTAAAAATTTATCTACAGCAAAATTTTCCAGATTTACGGTATAAACAATTTGTGTTTCACTTTAATGTACACATTATTTTAACTTCAGTGGGTTGAAATCAAGATCTGTTGTTTGGTAACTGTATGTGTTTTTGCTAAAAAAATATCTTGTTTATTTTAACAAGCTTGTACTGTTCATTAATTGGGATGTTTTGCTTCAGACAATTTACTTTATCACTTGTGATTATTGGACAATCTGGTTGACCATTTGTAAAAGTGTTACTCAGGCTGCATTACATTTCCGGAATTTTTAGTAATTATCAACTTTTCATTTCCGACTTTTTTTAGTTTTGTTTTCAATTCCAACATTTTTCAGATAGTACCTATATTAACAGATTTGAAGACTTTACCTATGAAAATTTAAAGGAATACATACATGTATAATAAATAAATAATTGAAATTCAATTTCTGAGTTTTTGTAAATTTATCAATGAAACTACTGTGGCAAAATGTAGGCAACTATCTGAATTAAAGTTTGAGAGATTGACCCAATGTTTACCGAATTACTCTGCCCAGATGTAAAGCAAAACAAATAAAGTTCTGTGTAGAGCTGCGTAATAAATGTGTTATCAACCGGAGTAAAAACTGAATAAGAATACGGCAAGTGACTTTGACATAAGTTTGGTGCTGACACTGACATTTATTTTAGTGCACATCAAATTAGGCGAAAAAGTTGTATGTTCATTGGATTCTTTAACCTAGACTTAGTTATACATGTATGCATATATGTATATAATAAAATTAATAGATTTTTAAAAATATAATTTTAATCAATATTTTGCAATAAATATTTTTAAGATATCATTTTCTCTCACTAGGAAAACATTAAATTGCTGCACAGGTGAATTCCGGAAATAAAAACAAAATTATGTCGGAAATGAAACCAAAAAATGTCGGAAATGAAATAAAAAAAATTTCGGAAATGCCATGCAGATTTACGGAAATGAAATGCAGTGGTTACTGATTATAACAAAAACTTGTACAATAATCTAACAGTATCTTAATTTCAATGGTACAAATTAATTATCAAGAGGTAGAAACCAAAATTATATCCCATTTTAATCTGCATGTATAAAAACTCTATCTAACCCAGATCTACTTTGTAGGCAGACTTCGTTTTTTTTTTTTAATTTTCCAGTGACTTTAAAGAGCTACAGAAATCCAAACCGAAATATGGAAGAAGAGCATCCAATCTCATCCGGTGTATTAGGACAACGATATTCCAGGCTGTTAAGTACTGCAAAAAGCTGAACGAAATCGGTAAGAAATCTGTTAAATATATAATTAAACCCACGATTTGTTTGAACATGATGAAGATCTTCTTTTCAGCTCTTTGGTTAAAATCAAATATTTTCAAGGGGTCAAATTTTTGTGGTTTGAGGAAAATATATTTGTTCATGGAGATTTGATTTTGTGATCGAAGAATTGTTCAGTAGTAAAAAAAAAAATTGCATTTCGTGGTGGACATAAATTCGTGGGTCTCTTCATACCTCGAAAACCATGAAAATTAAACCCCTACGAAAATTAGTGATTTCACAATAAACAAAAAGTGTAGATCTTTCAGTAAGCAGGGATGCATCTTCTAAAATTATGAATTTTATGGCCCCTGGGGTTTAGGTAGTTGAGGTGGGCTCTACTGATGTCAAATTTTCTTGAAAATCTTTCTTTACTTTTGGATTAAGCACTCCAGATAAACAAAGTGCAATTGTTATAATAGCAAGACTTCTTCTTCCAAATTTGTGAAATTTGTGGCCCGAAGGTCAGGGGGTCAGATAACTCCTACAAGTAAGAGCCTCGGTTAACGTACCTACGCTCCAGTCACAGCACCAAGTCAAAAGTATCTCGCCGTGAACCTCTAGCATGCTGGAGTAGGTGTCTGATGTTTTGACGGATTTTTGCATGCCAGTCTGATACATAATAATGTTATCCAACTATTTTTCATGACATATTTTATTTACGATTCTAAACTTTGCAATCTATCTATGATTTAAAATCTTTGCCACTAAGTCAGCATTCTGAATAAAAACTAATATGTGATTATTTGTATTGTTATGGGTCAGAATAACCCTAAATGCCAGCAAAGATCAATCACACAGTTTAAACTTAACAATAATTTATTTACAGTAATATACAAATCATTAAGTACAAACTTAGCAAAAATCTAAAAATACATACATCAGAGTGTCCGTTGCTGCACACAATGTCCCAGTGAAATTATATCCCAGTTGTAACTCAATGGTGCTCATACGACAAGAGTATATCTATGCATCGAATTGACAGGATATTTATACAGTAATATAAATCTAGAATATTCTAGAAGTTGTAAGTACATGATATTCCTGGAAAGTTCTGGACATGAATAAAGTTCAAGAATGTTCTAGAAAAAATGACCGAACATGTTGACCACTCTGGAATGTTCAAGAAACTTAATGTTACTAATAATAGACATGATGAAACAATACACACCTCACAACACCTCCCCCCTTAAAAAGTTTGAATGTCAATGAAAACTTATATTGTCAAAATGAAATATATGTACATTAATACAAAATCATATATGTTCACGATACTCTGGACAAGGCATCTGCAATAACATTGTCTTTGCCTTTGATATGCTTAATAGTTATGTTGTATTCTTGTAACAACAAACTCCATCTAGTCAGTCTTTGATTTTTGTTTGACAATTTATGCAAAAATGTCAGGGGGTTGTGATCCGTATATACAAGAATTGGATGCAAAGTAACATTCAGATAAACATCAAAATGCTGTAAGGCTAACAACAAAGCAAGGCATTCCTTTTCAATGGTGGAATACTTTTGTTGACACTTTGTAAGTTTCTTTGAAAAATAAGAAACAACTCTATCTACCTTATCACTATGTTCTTGAAACAAAGCTGCCCCGATTCCAACATCACTAGCATCAACAGTAAGCTTAAATTGCTTAGAAAAATCTGGAGTTGACAGAACTGGGTTGTTCATAAGGACAGATTTGATTTTATGAAAGGATTTTTCACAGTCCTTTGTCCATTCAAACTTAACCCTCTTCTGCAAAAGATTTGTAAGTGGACTAACTACTGAGGAAAAATTTGGACAAAATTTTCTGTAAAACCCAGCCATGCCCAAAAACCTCATTAACTCTTTCTTGTTTGTAGGAATCGGGAACTTTGCAATAGCTTCCACTTTAGCCATAATGGGTGTAACATAACCTTGACCTACTTTATGACCTAAATACTCTACATAAGCATGACAAAATTCGCTCTTCTCAAGGTTCACAGTTAAGTTTGCTTTAGCTAAAATGTCAAATAAAGCACGCATGATTCGGAGATGTTCGTCCCATGTGTCGCTGTATATGACGACGATCATCAATGTAGGCCTCGCATCCCTCAAGGTCTTGAAGAAGGGAGTGAATCATCCTTTGGAATGTAGCTGGTGCGTTTTTCATGCCAAAAGGCATTACTATTTTCAAGGGTAAAGTCCATCTGGTGTAGCAAAAGCAGATATTTCTTTTGCTCTTTCTGTTAATGGTACTTGCCAGTAGCCTTTCAAAAAATTCAAATTTAGTGGACAAATTTGGCGTTTCCAATGCGGTCAAAACAGTCATCGATTCTAGGTATTGGAAATGAATCAGTTTTGGTAACAGAATTCACCTTTCTATAATTATGTACATAATCGGTAGGTACCGTCCTGGGGTTTGGTACAAGAATACATGGTGAGCTCCAATTACTTTTACTAGGTTCAACAATGTCATTGTGCAACATGTTATAATAGCACTTCCCTTCTTCCAAATACTGCAATTTTATTGGATTCAGACGGTACGGATGTTGTTTGATAGGCAAGAGCGTCGCCAACTATAACATCATGACAAGCTGCATTAGTTTTCTTTGAACATCTAGCATGATTTGATGATACTCATTCATCAAGTTTTTAACTTGTTCTTTTTGGTGAATGTTCAAATGTCCAAGTTTGGCATCAAAATCAGCCATATTTTATTTAGTTTCTAAACTTTGCAGACTATCTATGATTAAAATCTTTGCCATTAATTTCTACATTCTGTATCACTTTCAATACAATTTTGAACAGTCTTAGCATTGGCTAAAGTGGAAACTGGTTTTACAGAATTTTTATCACACCTTTCAAAATACTCTTTTAACATGTTAATGTGACAAACCCGTTTCTCTTTACGTCGACCTGGTGTCTTAACTACATAGTTTACATCACTGATCTTGCTTTCAATTTCATAAGGGCCATAAAATCTGGCCTGTAAAGGATGACCAGGAATAGGTAAAAATACTATGAACCTTATCACCTGGCTTAAACACCCTATTTCTGGCATCTTTGTCATACCACATTTTCATTTTCATCTGAGAACTCTTCAAATTTTCTTGTGCTAATTTACAAGCATTGTAAAGTTTTTCTTTGAAATCAGACACATGTCTAAAAGATTAAGATCACTAGTCTCAGTCAGCCACTTTTCCTTCAACAATTTCAAAGGACCTCTAACTGTATGACCGCACCAATTCAAAAGGACTGAACCCAAGAGACTCCTGGACTGCTTCTTAAAAAATAGTACAAGATGAACCCCTTCATCCCAGTCTTTTTCATACTGGTAACAATAGGTCTTTAGCATTGTTTTTAGGGTTTGATGAAAACGTTCTAACGCTCCCTGGGACTCAGGATGATAAGCAGTTGATCGAAATTTGATACCAGAAATTTGCATGACTTGCTGGAAATTAATGAATTGTCGACATAAAATTTGAACCTTGATCCGACTGAATTGCCTTGGGTGCTCCTAAAAAGAAAAACTTGGTTAGGTGTTAACTATGCTCTTTATGCCTTTATATTCCTTCAAGGGTAATGTAATTAAAAACAAAGTGGATGTACACATAATGGTAAGTAAATACTGTGATTAAAACTAATTATTATATGTGTTCTACGAAAAAAAAATTATATTTCAATTTTTATATATTTGGAATGGGTTGAGCTATAGCCAAATATGGTATCTTCTGCTTTGGTTTACCTACCATCTTTCAAACATGGCATGACTTGCAAAACTAGAAACATCCTTTCTTAGCTTAGGCCAATAAAAATGAATCAAAATCCTATTTTTTAAATCTTATTGATACCTAAATGAAAAATATAGGTGTATCCTTAGCTAAAAAATGACATCTCGACGATAAGCAGCTGGGACCATTTTGGTGAACATATACTTTACACTTCATCTGTAACAAATGTTTATGCTTTGAGAGGATGCCATCTTTCATATAGAAGCATTCTCCAACTTTAGTAGCCTCTTCTGGTGGAAATGCATGTCAAATTGAGAGAAATTAATGAGTTTGTTGTTCAGAGAGTAAACGTTCTCGATCTGATGGAGCTGTAATCTTGCCTTGGCTAACTTGTGGAGTGCAACTCAAAGAAATAGCCTCATAGTTGCTTGTGTTAATTAAGTTCTTCTTCTCTGGCTTCTTGATATTGTGTGGTTCAACTTGTGAAATGTAATTAAAACAAATTGATGTTTTAGTGTCATTCAAATCAATATCAACAGAGGAATATGATTAAAAGGCTTGATTATGGTGTGTTCCATCTTATATATATTTGGCCAAATCGCTCTAGTAACAGCACAGGCTGGATAAATGTCATCATCTTCATCATCGCACATGATATTGGAAGTGATTTTCCACAAACTATAGGAGGTGTAATTTTCACCAATAAAACTTAAACAATGGAATGGCGCATGTTGCCGAGTTAACTTTCATCTAGATACACATGTTTTCAAAGATATCACTAGCCAAGTAAGAATTTGGGCTTCAAGATTAATGCGCTCAGGGACAACAAATACCCGTGGAGCTCAGTACATTTTATGATCTGCACACAAAAAGGCGTTCGATTTGCTTTATATTTTTTCTTAGGAAGTATATGCATCTTCCTAATGTTCATTCCCAACACAACAGAATCTGTAAAATCTGGACAGGTTTTATTTCGCTAGATTCCACATGAAACAAATCATGAACAATTTGTAAATAAATCAATAGAACTGGACTGTGAACCCATGGACACACAAGAGTGTCAGTACAAATCGAAACTAAGGATTGTCTATCATCTAATTATGCCGCACAAGCATGTGGTTGATTTTGTCAAAATCATTTTTATTTATGAATGTTTAAAGCATGTCACTGATAAAAATGACCCTTTTTGGCTAAAAAAACTACTCTTTTTTTGAAAATCTTTTCTTTTTTATTTATCCTTCAAACATATTGGACCGGTCTTCAACATTTTAGGATGGGACAGTGATAGTTTCAGTGAAAGACATGACAGCTTATGAGAGAACATATCTGTTGATCATTTAATTTCGAATTACTGCATCTGAGATTTTACAAAATTCTTTTTATTCAACAGAGCATAAGTATCAGACCTATGACTGCTGCCTCGACATATATTTTTAATCATTCTTATCTTCTAATGTGTTTCATATACATTGTAGGTAAACAAAAAGCAACCTGTTATTTTCTAACACAATATGAAACTACAAGTAACTAGAATTCATGTTTATTTTTATCACAATTTTTCATTATAGATGAGTAAACCAGTTATTGTCATGAGTTATACATATCATAGGTAAAATAACAAATGAAAACTTATCAAACTTTCTATAACCATCAGATACTTTTTAGCATATTATAATGAGGTACTAAGATATGCTTTTAATATTGCTGCTTATATAGAAGGTAAAGAGGTAAAATTTACCTCAGCTCTATCAAATAGTATAATAAAGAAAGGAAGTGGCTACGATTTTTATGAAATTTTAATGTCCGATGAGGAATTACATTCCCATTCCAAGGCAATTGAACACTCCATTATTTCAGTTTTTCATTAACATGTTCATAAACGTAAATATAAGTTTTGACAACTGACGGTGTGGTTGGTATTTCAATTTTAATTTCTCTATATTCAAAATTCATTTTATAAGCTCTCTTTGTACACATTTGTCTTTCTCTTTCTCGCTCTTCTCTTTCTCTTCAAAAAAAAAAAACACAAATTTCCTGTTCATATGACTTCTCGCTCTCAATTTTCACACAAATGCATAAAATAATAAAAAATTCTGACATATTAAAAGATTCTGATTTAAGTGTATAATCTAAAAGATGCAAATTTTCCAAAGATGTTTTCTTCAACTAGTTTGTTTCAACCTTTTTCCCGTGGGTATTTATTTCTTTTTTTCTCTTTATAATAACTTTGGTATTCTATTATGGCAAGATATAACCTCTAACAATTATGACCTAACGCGCTCTCTAACTGTTATAATTTTATTTCACGTATCAAAAACCTGAACATTTGGTGAACTACATAACACGGCGTTAGTCGTTTAATTTCTTTAAAATTTCATGTTTTTTTGAATAGTGCACAAAGTCAAATTTAACGGTATATGGAATACTTTAATTTTGACAATAAACTGCAAAAGTGCAGTTATTTGATTTTAGAAATTATGTTATGGGTCAGAATAACCCTAAATGCCAGCAAAGATCAATCACACAGTTTAAACTTAACAATAATTTATTTACAGTAATATACAAATCATTAAGTACAAACTTAGCAAAAATCTAAAAATACATTACATCAGAGTGTCCGTTGCTGCACACAATGTCCCAGTGAAATTATACCCCAGTTGGGGATTATACGCGATTTCAAGGATAATACTCAATGGTGCGATTTCGAGAGTATATCTCTCGACAGGATATTTATACAGTAATATAAATTTATGTTTGATTTTAGAAGCATTGTAAAATACAATAATATTCCTGCAGATGGATATTGTTATGGACATGACATAAAGTTCAAGAATTATATGATGTAAAAATGAGTCCATACACTGTTGACCACTCTGGAATGTTCAAGAAACTTAATGTTACTAATAAATAGTGTCATGATGAAACAATACACACCTCACAACAGTATCGCCATGAGAAATGAATGCAAATATGAGAAGGTCGCAAATTTTTTTGATATGTCTTGCTCAGAAATAAAGTTAACAATTTACATGTACAGTGGACCTTCAGATATCCGGACGCCAGATATTCGGATGCTTCAGTATCCGGATGATTTTTCATCGGAACGGAATTTTTTAATATTATGTTGTCTTGCTTAACTGGTGATTCAGGTATCTGGACGCTTCACATATCCGGAGAAATTGACTGGGAACCAAAGCGTCCAGATAAATGAGGCTCCACTGTACCAGTTTTTGGAGAAGTTATTTGTATTAGGTACATGTATTATGACATAACTTAAAATGTACAGTGTGGAATCAATGTTTTAACTTTTGATAATATGAGAAATCATTTTTTTTCCTTTACCATGTTTACAGCCAATGACATTGGGGACTTTTTTCTGAGTATGGTTGTTGATTTTTTCCTTTACCATGTTTACAGCCCATGACATTGGGGACTTTTTTCTGAGCATGGTTGTTGATTTTTCCTTAACCATGTTTACAGCACATGACATTGGGGACTTTTTTCTGAGCATGGTTGTTGATTTTTTCCTTTACCATGTTTACAGCCCATGACATTGGGGACGTTTATCTGAGCATGGTTGTTGTTTGGGAAAGGAACAGCTCCATCAAGACAGTTGGTAACAAAGCATTACTGAAAAAGGTAAAATCTCTATACTTACATTGAAAATGTTTTTTCCTTATTAATATATTTATGTTTAGATTGTAGATGTAGGTTTGCATACTGTTAAGATTAAAATTAGCTGCAATCTTAAAATTTTGGACCATAAAATTTTTAAAATGTTAAAATTTTGGGCCATACAATTTGAAAATGTTAAAATTTTGGTCCATCATTTATAATTTAAGTGCTAGAATTTCCAGATTTACACCAGTTTTATGCACCTGTATGGACAGATCAGGGCACATATTGTTTTTGTCCTGTCTGTTTGTCTGCCTGTTGTCAACTTTAACCTTCACCATAACTTTTGAATCATGAGAGATAGAGACTTTATATTTGGTATGCATACTCCAATAATTCAGTTCTTTCAAATGACACCAAGGTCAATGACCCTTTGACCTTAACTGTGACCTATTTGCTAAAAATAGCTTTTTCAAACTTTTTTGCTGCTGGGCGCATAGTGTTTCATGAACACATCTTGTTGGTTCTAAAATATTGGACATATTCCAATTTAAGACAGTTTTTATGCCCCGCCATGAATATGGTCGGGGCATATAGTGTTTGTCATGTCAGTCTTCAGTCCTTCTGTACGTCCTAATGTTACACTTGTATTTAGCTCAGTTCAAATATTGGTTTCAAAGAAACTATTCAAGATATTTTCATCAAACTTCATATGCTGATATATATTGATGAGAGCTATGCAACTGCATCAATATTTTTTGACCTTGACCTTTACTTTGACCTTGACCTCACTTTTCTTAAATTAGTGTTTGGCTCAGTTTTAAATATGATACCATTCAAGATGGTGTTATCAAACTTCACATGTTGATACAAACTTGCACGGATGATGCATCTAGGAATGAACACTACCAGACTTGCTTCGGATGCTGGATCTGACCTACATTTTCCAGATGAGTGACCACGTTAAAGTTTTTGGAGCAGGTCCATTCCTAAGGAACTAAAAGCCCTACTTGGACCAAACTTGTATGGATGATGCATCTAGAGATGGACACTACCAGACTTGCTTCGGATGCTTGATCTGACCTACATTTTCATTCCCAAGTAACTATAAGCCCTACTTGGACCAAACTTGCATGGATGATGCATCTAAAGATGAACACTACCAGACTTGTTTAGGATGCTGGATCTGACCTACATATTTATTCCCTAGTAACTATAAGCCCTACCTGAACCAAACTTGCATGGATGATGCATCTAGGGATGGACACTACCAGACTGGCTTCAGAAGCTGGATCTCACCTATATTTTCATTCCCAAGTAACAATATGCCCTGCCTTAACCAAACTTGCATGGATGATGCATCTAGGGATGGACACTACCAGACTTGCTTCGGATGCTGCATCTGACCTATATTTTTATTCCCAAGTAACTAAAAGCCCTGCCTTTACCAAACTTGTATGGATGATGCATCTAGGGATGGACACTACAAGACTTGCTTCGGATGCTGGATCTGACCTATATTTTCATTCCGTAGTAACTATAAGCCCTGCCTGAACCAAACTTGCATGGATGATGCATCTAGGGATGGACACTACCAGACTTGCTTCGGATGCTGCATCTGACCTGTATTTTTATTCCCAAGTAACTATAAGCCCTGCCTTAACCAAACTTGCATGGATGATGCATCTAGAGATGGACACTACCAGACTTGCTTCGGATGCTTGATCTGACCTACATTTTCATTCCCAAGTAACTATAAGCCCTACCTGAACCAAACTTGCATGGATGATGCATCTAGGGATGGACATTACCAGACTTGCTTCGGATGCTGGATCTCACCTATATTTTCATTCCCAAGTAACAATATGCCCTGCCTTAACCAAACTTGCATGGATGATGCATCTAGGGATGGACACTACCAGACTTGCTTCGGATGCTGCATCTGACCTATATTTTCATTCCCAAGTAACTAAAAGCCCTGCCTTTACCAAACTTGTATGGATGATGCATCTAGGGATGGACACTACAAGACTTGCTTCGGATGCTGGATCTGACCTATATTTTCATTCCCTAGTAACTATAAGCCCTACCTTTACCAAACTTGCTTGGATGATGCATCTAGGGATGGACACTACAAGACTTGCTTCAGATTCTGGATCTCACCTATATTTTCATTCCCAAGTAACAATATGCCCTGCCTTAACCAAACTTGCTTGGATGATGCATCTAGGGATGGACACTACCAGACTTGCTTCAGATTCTGGATCTCACCTATATTTTCATTCCCAAGTAACAATATGCCCTGCCTTAACCAAACTTGCTTGGATGATGCATCTAGGGATGGACACTACCAGACTTGCTTCGGATGCTGGATTTGACCTATATTTTTATTCCCAAGTAACTATAAGCCCTGCCTTAACCAAACTTGCATTGATGATGCATCTAGGGATGGACACTACCAGACTTGCTTCAGATGCTGCATCTGACCTACATTTTCATTCCCAAGTAACTTTAAGTCCTACCTGAACCAAACTTGCATGCATGATGCATCTATGGTGGACACTACCAGACTTGATTGGGATGCTGGATCTGACCTACATATTTACTCCCAAGTTACTAATAGCCCTACCTGAACCAAACTGATCAAATTTTATACACATGCAAATTTTCATGTTCCTTTACTAATATATCCTCGGCGGGGCATTCATGTCCTATGGACATATTTCTAGTTTTTTTCAAGTTTTATAGTCCTCTGATTATTCCAGTCAATATGTATACTTCCTCTATTTAAGACCATTAAATAGTGAAGAAATTTATGCAATTGAATTTTCTTGCACTAAAAACGTGTAGCAATATCAAAATTCTGATATACTGTGATGTAAACTTTAAAATTATCAATGTTTCTATATAATGGTAACCATCATTACATTTATTTAGATCGCAAAGGTCCTGAGTCCCCCTAGCTGTAACTATGACGATGTTTGTGACCCCACGTCTTCACATGCAGATGAAGGTTATTTGTCGCAAAAGCTTGTTTTACATTTTGTTTTGAATAAAAATCTATTTCACTTAAAGGGGCTGGGTGGTTGTGGCCATTTTCAGATGGTTTTGATCTTCTTTAGAAGAAGAGTTCCATGTAATACAATTGTATATATATAATGATCAAATTTTAAAACTAAAATTTTTGAATTTTTTCTCTGCCAAATAATAGTTGACGGCTTAAGATACCATATCTGAAAATTTAAGATATATCTGGTGGTTAATTTGTTGACCCCCCCCCCACCCCCCACCCCCAGCCTCCTTAATTTTAAACCAAACCAAATCAGTACTTTTTAACTTTTATTTGTTGTTAATAAGAATTTGTACTTAATTTTAGAGACAGTATTGGGAGAAAATGGTTTGTCAGCAACTGATAATACCAAACTTAAAACATCAGAACTGGAAACAGAAAACAATGAAAGCAATTTATCTAAAGAGACAAACAAGTGTGTTGAACTAAATTCAGGGAAAAAAGACAATGGAAATAAAGTGTCTAGAACAGTTACAAGTGGAAAAAGGAATTCTAGTGAGAAAAATGAAGAATCAGATCTAAGTCCACAAGTTCTTCTAAAAAGGGTAAGAATGACCTCACTTCTAAAGCCAGCCTCTTCTGTCCAAGTGAATGACACCAGTTCTCAAGGTACCCCAAGTAATCTGGTAGAGACTCTTTTAAAACCTGCTCTAGGTAAAGACATTGAATCTCTAAATCCCCAAAGTGAAATGGGAGAAACTCTTGAAGAACAAGCCCCTGCTCATCTGAATGACAGTGGTTCACAGGGTCCCCCAAGTCCAGAGGGAGAGAAACTTCTAGAACTATCTCCTGTCCAAGTGAAAGACACCAGTTCTGAGGGTTCCCAAAGTAAATGGGAAGAGAGGCTCCCAATACCAGCTCATGTCCCAGTGAAAGGTAACATTTCACCGGGCACTCCAAGTAAAGAGGACACACTTCCAAAACCAGCTTCTGTCCAAGTGAAAGGCAGCAGTTCTGAGGGAATCCAAAATAAACATGGAGAGACTCTGCCAAAACCAGCTAGAGTCCAAGTGAATAACAGTGGTTCTCAAAGTCCCTCATGTAAACAGGCAAACACATTGACTTGTGTAAAAGATGGCAAAATAATTTCTTTAGAAGAGCTGCAGAAGGAAGTAGAGTTAGCATTGAAGTCGCCGAATACTAATAATGCCCCAAAGTTTTATCTACAAAAAATACCCAGTGGTGATGAAAATTTCAACAAGGCAATAATCAATTCTTCAGGAGGAACAGAGAAAGTCACAAGTGTACAAACTCGAGCACTGCCTCAACCGACACAGCTTGTACCTATAAACACGCAGAGATTACCTCACAGGCAGCCGATGTTCCTAGTGGCCCCCACCCCTGTGACAGGCAGGAATAGTCCAAAGCTCTCAGCAGCCATTACTGGAGGTCAGTCTCAAGTTCGCCCTGTCAAAGTCTTTATCAACCACCAAATCATACCCTCATTTCACAAGATAGGAAGTCTGGCTGCGAAAACTCACACTATGAACTCGACTCAGATCAATAATTCTCCTGTGGCATCAACTTCTGCTCAGATGAACTCAACTCAGATCAGTAATGTGTCTGATTTAGCAGCAACTTCTGCTCAGAAAAACTCGACTCAGTTAAGTAATATTTCTGACTCGGTGACAACTACCACTCAGAAGTCTAGTGAACCAGAGCATGTACCAGATTCAGTGACAGAGAGCTGTTCGTCAGAAGCAGACGAGTTGAAGTTCTCGATTGTTGTAAAAGAAACAGACACAGGAGAGTACAAGATGTATAAAGTACCTATCTCTAACACAGACCAACAAACCCAGGAGGTCATTCTCCCAGAACTAGAGGGTGATGGAGGTGTCACTGTGAAATGTGAGCCAACAGAGGAATGGTCTGGTATTACACCTTATTCACAAAGTCAAAGTGGTGTGACCTCACCTCATTCACAAAGTCAAAGTGGAGTGACCTCACCTCATTCACAAAGTCAAAGTGGTGTGACTTCACCTCATTCACAAACTTGGACTGGTATCAACGCTTCTCATTCACAGAACCAGAGTGCTATCTCTCACACAGAATCCAGTGAAATGGGTGGAGACAATGTCATTGTGAAAACTGAACCAGTGGTACCAAGTGTATCTTCACATCATAGAAATACAAACATCAACAAGTATAAAAATCCTCAAAGAATAACAAGGTCTGTCACACGGGGGCAAACTCAGAAGGTAGTCGAGTGTCCGTACGAATACGCTTTACAACTGGATTCTGTTCCAAAGAGAAAAAAAGAATCCTTAATGACATTCTGGTACAGGTGTAAACAATGCTGTAAATCCTTCAAATATGCCAGCTCCCTGGAGGTAAGGACTGGTGTAATGGGGTTTCTGTTGTTGATTAATCAGAATCTTTCAGTTTGTCAATATAAAATTGTGAAATCCTGTATTGTTCATTGATCACTACTATTTCTGGGTTTTGCTATCATTTATTGTAAACAAATTTACGTCACCATGAATGATAATTTAACTGATGTATAAAAACACTGAAGTTGCTGTATGTATGAGTTTAATACCTACAATCTAATTGAATAGTAGTTATGTGTGTGTTTTCATTAGCCATGTCTTTCTATATACTATGTTCACAGGTTCATAAGCGAATGCATGACCACCGGGAAGTTGAAAAGACAAAAAAGAATCGGTGTTACATCTGTAAACACAGGGACAAGTACACATGGGAAGTACACACGACAAATCTAACATCAAGGCACAATGTGCTGTCTGAAAACACATTCCAGTAAGTACACACGCAAGTCTGAAAACACATTCAAGTAAGTACACACTGACAAGTCTGAAAACACACTCAAGTAAGCACACAAAGTCTGAAAACACATTCAGTAAGTACACAGGGACAAGTCGGATAAGTCTGAAAACACATTCCAGTAAGTACACACCAAGTCTGAAAACACACTCAAGTAAGTACTCTGAAAACACATTCAAAGTACACAGGGACAAGTCTGAAAACACATTCAAGTAAGTACACAGGGACAAGTCTGAAAACACATTCCAGTAAGTACACACGGACAAGTCTAAAAACACAAGTAAGTACAAGTAAAACACATTCAAGTACACACGGACACATTCAAGTAAGTACACATGAAAACACATTCAAGTAAGTACACACGGACAAGTCTGAAAACACATTCATAAGTACATACTGACAAGTCTAAAAACACATTCAAGTACACACGGACAAGTCTGAAAACACATTCAAGTAAGTACACAGGACAAGTCTGAAAACACATTAAGTAAGTACACAGGGACAAGTCTGAAAACACATTCAAGGAAATCTGAAAACACATTACAGTAAAACACATTCAAGTACACACATTCAAGTAAGTCTGAAAACACATACAAGTAAGTACACAGGGACAAGTCTGAAAACACATTCAAGTAAGTAACAGGGACAAGTCTGAAAACACATACAAGTAATTACACACTGACAAGTCTGACACATTCCAGTAAGTACACACGGACAAAAACACATTTAAGTAAGTACACACAGACAAGTCAGAAAACATTTAAGTAAGTACACACAACAAGTCTGAAAACACTTTCCAGTAAGTACACATGGACAAGTCTGAAAACACATTCAAGTAAGTACACACAGACAAGTCAGAAAACACATTCCAGTAAGTACATACACAAGTCTAAAAACACATTCAAGTAAGTACACAGGACAAGTCTGAAAACACATTCAAGTAAGTACACAGGACAACTGAAAACACATCCGAGTAATACACAGGAAAAGTCTGAAAACACATTCCAGTAAGTAAAACACATACAAGTAAGTACACAGGGACAAGTCTGAAAACACACTCAAGTGAGTACACACTAAACACAACAAAACACATACAAGTAAAACAGGGACAAGTCTGAAAACATTCAAGTAAGTACACACACACACTGACAAGTCTGAAAACACATTCCAGTAAGTACACACGGACAAGTCTAAAAACACAATCAAGTAAGTACACACGGACAAGTCACACATTCAAGTAAATACACATGAAAACACATTCCAGTAAGTACACACGTAAGTACACACTGACAAGTCTGAAAACACACTCAAGTAAGACACACGGACAAGTCTGAAAACACATTCAAGTAAGTACACACGGACAAGTCTGAAAACACATTCAACTAAGTACACACGACAAGTTGAAAACACATTCAGTAAGTTCACAGGGACAAGTCTGAAAACACATTCAAGTAAGTAACAGGGACAAGTCTGAAAACACATTCAAGTAAGTACACAGGGACAAGTCTGAAAACACATTTAAGTAAGTACACATGGACAAGTCTGAAAACACATTAAAGTAAGTACACACAGACAAGTCAGAAAACACATTCCAGTAAGTACATACTGACAAGTCTAAAAACAAATTCAAGTAAGTACACACGGACAAGTCTGAAAACACATTCAAGTAAGTACAGACAGACAAGTCTGAAAACACATTAAGTAAGTACACAGGGACAAGAAAACACATTCAAGGAAATCTGAAAACACATTACAGTTAGTCTGAAAACACATTCAAGTAGGTCTGAAAACACATTCAAGTAAGTCTGAAAACACATACAAGTAAGTACACAGGGACAAGTCTGAAAACACATTCAAGTAAGTACACAGGGACAAGTCTGAAAACACATAAAAATTACACACTGACAAGTCTGAAAACACCTTTAAGTAAGTACACAGGGACAAGTCTGAAAACACATTTAAGTAAGTACACACGGACAAGTCAGAAAACACATTCAAGTAAGTACACACTACAAGTCTGAAAACACTTTCCAGTAAGTACACATGGACAAGTCTGAAAACACATTCAAGTAAGTACACACAGACAAGTCAGAAAACACATTCCAGTAAGTACATACTGACAAGTCTAAAAACACATTCAAGTAAGTACACAGGACAAGTCTGAAAACACATTCAAGTACACAGGACAAGACTGAAAACACATCCGAGTAATACACAGGGAAAAGTCTGAAAACACATTCAAGTAAATCTGAAAACACATTACAGTAAGTCTGAAAACACATACAAGTAAGTACACAGGGACAAGTCTGAAAACACACTCAAGTGAGTACACACTAACAAGTCAGAAAATACATTCAAGTAAGTACACACTGACAAGTCTGAAAACACATACAAGTAAGTAAACACTGACATTTCTGAAAATGCATTCAAGTAATTACATGTAATGTGATGGGAAAAAGTTCCTTTTAACACATGATGAAAACACCCCGCAATGTGGTAGATTGATTCCCAAGAAGTTGATGTTTCTTTTTCACATTGAATTTAATATTCAAAATCTGACAGGTGTTTTATATAAATTTAAAATTAAATCTTTATTTTAACTACAGGTGTTTTATATGATTATTTAAATTACAGGTGGTTCATACGATTCTTTATTGTTATACAGGTGTTTTAAATGTGATGAGAGCTTTTTCCACCAGGATAATTACCAACATGAGGATGCATGCAAACAAGTATGAGGAGCAGCAGGGGCATGTGAGGGTTTCATGAAGGTACTGCAGTAAGGTTCATTATCTGTCTGTTCATGCAAACTGTAAACCAACTTTATTCCAGAGCAAGAAATATCTCTAAGCTTTGCAGACTTCATTCATTCCTTATGTAGAATGTTGCCACATAAGTACTGACTTGTAGTCGCATATGGATTCCAAACTAAAATATTGCAAATATTAAAGAGAAGTCATGAATAATACATTCTAATGCAATTGTTCTGTAAAACACTTTTTGATTGGCTAATGACTGATGTTTGAAGCAGTAAAACGAGCATTAACGAGCGTGAAAGCTTTTTCATTGTGACGTCATAATAGGGCGACGCAAAAACACAATGCTCCGTGACGTATTTCTTGTAACAAAATTCATCAAAATAAGACGTGAACAACCAACAAAATGCATGGATTGCATTAGAATGGGAATAACTGATCTTTTAATTTGTTATTTGCGACCGTTAATGCTGATTTAACGGTCGCAATACGCGTCGCCGGTAAACACATTCAAGTTGCGACCGTTAAATCAGCATTAATGGTCGCAAATACCAAATTAGAAGATAGTTATCCCCAAGTCAAACTTTGTTATCTCACAACCTGATGAGACTGAGTAAAAACTTCGAGATATCCGAGGATTTGAGATATCAAGGGTAAAATACTTAAAGAATAAGTGGTTGGGACTTCCAAATCACTTTGACATATTCATGGAGTCGGAGATGCTGAAGTTCAACTGTAGTTCAGTTTACAATATAAATTATGTTATAATACTAACAATTTTCCATATAAAATGTAATACATTTATATAAATTAAATGAAAAAACAGTAAAGCATGCGTACAGCATGCTTATAACATAAAGGACAATATTTTTGGAAAAGTAATTCATCTATATCAATTCTGTTTATAATACAGTAAAACTCGTTTAGTACGAACAAGGATATAGCGAATTCACGGATATAGTGAAGTTTTTCTGGGTCCCCGACTAAATTCTTAACAAATCTTTGTAAATTTTACGGTTATAACGAACTCTGATATAACGAATTTACGGATATAGCGAACTGATTTTGAGTCCCGCTGAGGTAAAATATAATGAAATTTACATCTTCTATAACGAACTTTTAAGGATCTCAAAATTTGATAAATTGAACTGACTTTATTTTATTTTAGAATGTATATAAAAATTCAATTCGAAACAAAATATTGGTTATCGAAGGTCTTTTTTACCCCTAATATTTACTTCCCTAACATATTTGGTAGTAATATTTGAAGGAAAACTTGCATATAGAGAATTCGCTATATAGCGAATTAAATTCAGTAAGTACACACGGACTTAGCTATAACCGAGTTTTACTGTATATATTTTTAAACAATCATGAATGAAAATCACAAGGTATATATATATATATGCTATGATCATAATTAAGTTTTGTGGTTTCAGGACAACAAAAAGAAAAGAATGAATCAGTCAACCCAGCATCAACTTCAAATCAGCCAGTAATTCCTACAGACCAGGGAGCTATGGAGGGGGAAACTCTATACAAGAGAAACAGGCAAAAGAGGAGGATAATAGTAGACGATTGTGAGAGAGGGTTGATCCCTACAGAGACAATGAAGCGACAATTCAGGGACACCTCAGACATCACAGGTCCTATGGAATAACTCCCCCAACCAAAAAACTCATGCATCTGAAGGAAAGTCGGGACTCTGAGAGGCTGTTATCTAAACCTGGAAGATCTGGTTTATCCCCGACTGCTTCTAAGGTATGAAAATCTTTGTGTAAAATGGTTTTATTGTTCAGCAGAAAGATAATATTGAGTTTGTTGTTTTGTAAATGTTGTACATGTCAGCCGAGAGTTGACTTGAGATTGTAATTTTGTGTTATACAGTATAATCTTGTCCTTTACTGTGTGTGCCCCTCACTCGGTCTGTCACAACAGATTTTGTAACATACTTTACAGCTACATTTATTTCCAAGTTAATTTCATGCAAATTTCTAGGAATGAATCTCGGAACATAGTAAGTAACTCCTATTCTCATGTATTTTATTACAGTCATTTTCTCGGAATCTTGTCACACCGACAATTGACCAAGGAGAAGCACCAGTCCCTGATAATTTGAATCTTGAAGACTTTGATTCAACCTTGGAGGAACAAGGTATGTGTCCATTATATTCTTTTTAAATGTAATAGGACCCAAGAAAGTCTGTTGCTAGGTCAGAAATCAAACTCAGGTTCCATGTAATAACAGGACACAAGAAAGTCTGTGGCTAGATCAGAAATCAAACCCAGGGCCCAAGTAATACTAGTGGGGTGCTCTACAGACGGAGCTACCTTGGTCTATACTGTATGTGTACTTTAAAAAGCGGGCTTCATATTTTAGTGGCTTTGACGCAGACAACAAAGTACTAATTCATGAAAGAAAGGATATAGAGAGAAAACGGTTGAAAACCGCTAAGAAATCATTTACGTTTACAATACACTGAACAAACCTGCGCTAATTTATGATTACGCCAACAACTCCATACCAAGTGATTGCTCTAAATTTGAAAACACCAAATTATTTTCACATACAGTATTTACCATAATCCTTATATTAAAAGATTTATATTCTGATTAGCAACAAAGTCAAAACCATAGGTCATTGTCGATCACTTGTAGAGAAAACAAAGTGTTCTGTTGTTCATTATTCCAATAACAGAGAGATCTTTTACAGGTACATGGCTGGTGGAGACTAGAATCAAAGAAGAACCTTTAGATGATCAGCCAGAGTTCACCCAGTCCTCCAGCTCACTCATACAGACCTCTACAGAAATACAGAAAAAACAGGGAACTGTGATGAACCTACAGACCTCTACAGATCTACCACAGGGAGCAAGTGATAAATATACAGACAGATCAAATCAAGACGGAACCCTCATCTAGTGATCCCCCTTAATCCTTAATCAAATACGATCTCTATTAACACTACTGCAGATTAGACCCTAAGTTAACAGATCTACCGAGGAAACGTGATGAACATACTGATGGATCAAAACAAGACGGAGCCCTCATCTAGTGTCCCCCCTTAATAACACTGCCTGTGTAAGTCATTAGCTAATGAACCCTCAGTTGTTCCCTCCCTCTCAATCACAACAATGCAAGTTTTGGGGAAAATTGATAGCTGTGGAAAATGAAAAAAGAAAAGCCTCATCAAGAACTTGGGAGAGGATATAATACAGTGATTATTACATGTTATAAAGTATGATCATGTATGAATATTTGAAAAAAGAGTCAAAGAAAATTCCCATTGGCCAGAATGGACATATATTTGTTTATTTACTTGTGTGTTTTTGGTATGTTATAAATATTGATCACTCAGCCTGATTGCTATAAATAACTGGTAGCTGAAGCTTGTAGCTTAGCAGCTTAGATTAGCTAAAGAGCTTAAGAATTTTATATTTTGGAAAGTTCACTGAAACAGATTTTTCAGTTTTGTTTTCACACATGAAACAACAGGTTAAATGATTTGTAAAAATCTTCAGAATTAAAATTAAAAGTTTATTGATCAAACACAATGTTTTATTTTTATATGTTAAGTATTTATTCAAGGAATAACTGTCTAATTTTTTTATTTCATGATGTGATCAATTGAATTGCTTGCATTTATGCACAAAATTATCACTTAATCTAATCGATTGATCGTCATGAAATAAAACCAGAAGTCTCTATTGAGACTGAAGCTCTACTGGTTTGTACTTATAGCAAAGGAAGAGAAAAGTACTTAAGCAGTTGGGAATCGAAACTCTATGACAGCAATAAATAGAATAATGATCCTTGGTTAAGCCTCTTTATGTTCTTATTGTATTCTACTTGCATGCCACATTATTTATTATAATCAGACTAAAACTGTATTTAGAGTAGCATTTTGAGAGTATTTAACGGAAATTTCTATTTTAGTAACCAATGCAATAATATTCAATGAAGTCAAAAAACCATAAACAGAATTGTGTATCTTAGTATAGTCTACTTGTGAGCCAAGTTATAATGAAATCAGACCAAAACTGTAGGAGGAATAGCATTTGAAAGAATTTCACAGAAATTTCTATTTTTAGTAACCACGGCAACACTGTCACTGTTCATCAAAATCAAAAAGCAATATACAGAATTATGTTCCTAAGTGTAATCTACTTGTATACCAAGTTATATTGAAATCAGACCAAAACTGTAGGAGGAGTAGCATTTTGAAAGAATTTAACAGAAATTTCAATTTTTAGTAACCACGGCAACACCGTTCATCCAAATCAAAAATTGATACACGGAATTATGTATCTTAGTGTAGTCTACTTGTGTGCCAAGTTATATTGAAATCAGACCAAAACTGTAGGAGGAGTAGCATTTTGAAAAAAATTCACAGAAATTTCTACTTTTAGTAACCAAACACCGTTCATCCAAATCAAAAACCGATACACAGAATTATTATCTACTTGTGTGCCAGGTTACATTGAAATCAGACTGAAACTGTAGGAGGAGTAGCATTTGAAAGAATATTTCACAGAAATTTCTTAAATTATAACCAAGGAAACACCGTTCATCGAAATTACACAAAATTATGTATCACAGTGTAATCAATCATTCGCTAGCCAAGGGTTTCCGATCCAAACCCTACTCTACAACTTGTAGAGTAGGTATATAGGAAACCCTTGGCTAGCGAAGATGTGTAGTCTACTTGTGTGCCAAGTTATATCGAAATCATACCAAAACTGGAGGAGGAATAACTTTTTGAAAAATTGTTTACAGACATGACAGACAGCTATAGACGGACGCCGGAACGCATTACTATCGCATAAGCTCTATGGTCTCTGAAAAATCAGTAGAGCTAAAAAATAGCAAAAAGTTATTCCTTAAAATAGATAACAATTCAATGTCTTGTAGGTGAATATGGAATTTATTTCATAAGTGGGACAGGATTTTTTGATAGGGCTTTCATCCTTCACATATCATTTGCGTCGGAAGCAAATTGAAAGTGGGGGGCTAAGAGTTAAAAAAAAATTATACCTTAAAAAAAAACAAAAAAAAACTGACAAGCAAAAAAAGAAAAAGGGGTGGGGGGGGGGGGGTTGGAATGTCCATTTCCCAAACACGAAAATCCTACATCGTGCGGGGTGGGGGGTTAGGTTCGAACTTCAGTACCAATTTTTTTTTTAAAATACCACCACTTTCCCTATTTCTAGGTGACCTATTGCTATCCGTTTTCGTCCGTCATCGTCCGTCGTTCGTAAACTTTTGAAGTTTTAACTTCTTCTCAACCACTGAACCAATTTCAATTAAATTTGGTATACAGCATCTATGGGTGAAGGGGAACAACATTTGTGAATTTCGTGGTCCTGTCCCCCTGTGGGGCCAAAACCACTAAAATTAATGCAATTTTTAAAAATCTTCTTCTTTACTCCTGGACATCAAGCAGTCAAACTGTTGATATGATTGTAATCAGCATTGAGTCCTCTACCAAAATTGTGAAATTCATGGCCCCTAGGTTATGTGTGTGTATTTCTTTTTTCTAGTAGTATGCTAGTCTGTTATGTTTGATTTGTGAATCATGACATTCTGTGATAGTTTTACCTGAATAAAATGAAATGAAATGAAAAAGGGGTTCTGGTGTTAGGGTGGGGCTATATAGATCATATAGTAAAAGTGCATTATTTCTCTGAAAATCTTCTCTGCTCCTGGGTATTAAATTAACTAACTAAGAACATATATAGTTATGATAACCAAGTGTGCTTCTTCAAAAATTGTGAATTTCATGGCCCCTGCGTCAGGGGTTCTGGTGTTAGGGCGGGGCTATATAGATCATATAGTACATGTGCATTATTTCTTTTAAAATCTTCTTCTTTGCACGTGGGTATTAAATAAACCAACTAAGAACATAGTTATGATGACCAAGAGTGCCTCTCAATAATTGTGAATTTCATGGCTCCAGGGTCAGGGGTTCTGGTGTTAGGGCGGGGCTCTATTGATTGTATATTTAAAAAACATTAATTCTTCAAATATCTTCTTCCTACTCCTCGATATTAAACAAGCTAACTAAGTACATAGTTATGATTAACAAGAGTGCATCCTCCAAAATTGTGTATTTTATGGCCCCAGGGTCAGGGGTTCTGGTGTTACTGGGCGGGGCTCCATTGATTATATAGTGAAAATGATTTTATTCTTTCTCTGCGCCTGGATATTAGATCAAAAAAGTACATAGTTATGATAAAATAGAGTGCCTCTTTCAAAATTGTGATTTTATGGCCCCAGGATTAGAGGTTCAGGTGTTAGGGCGGAGCTCTATTGATTATATAGTGAAAATGCATTTATTCTTTGAAAATCTTCTTCTCTGCTTCTGGGTATTAAATAAACTAAGAACATATAAATATGATGAGCAAGGGTGCTTTATCCAGATTTGTGAATTTCATGGCCCTTGTGTCAGGGGTTTTGCCATTTGGTGTAAAAAGGGGGGGGGGTATAGTCTGAAAATAAATTAATGCTTTGAAATCTGCTTTTTGTTATCAATCAACCATTTATGATAAAATAGAATTTACGATAAAATTTCCAAAATTTTGAAATAAGTGGCCCCAGGGTCAGTTGTTCCTTTGGGGTGAACAGGTGGCAGGGAAACAGGGGGTGGGGGGGCCTGGCCCCCCAAAGTTTTACCTCAACATTACCTTTACTATAGAAAATGTTCATTGAAAGGAAAGTTGGCCATCCCAGTTTTTGACCATAGTACTATAGTGATGTCATCAGAATTTATATGGGAAAAATTGGAATTGAAAGTAACTTGGCTTTAAAACAGTTGGCCACTACCCCCCCCCCCCCTCCCCCACGAAATAGGAATTTAGTTTGGGCAACTTTAATTTTCCTTTTTTTTTTTTTGCTTGTCAACTTTTTCAGGCAAGTAAAAAAAATTTCTCAGGTTGCCCCCCCCCCCACTTTCAAAAACGATGCTACGTGCCTGGGTGGTACCGAGGCTTTCATATTTCACAACTGTATTTTTGTGAGAAGATTACTTTGGGTACCATTAGGAAAGTTTTATTTAGCCATTAAATATGAGCTAGGAACAGTCCCTATTTGTTGCAAAGCTATCATCTCAATGTTTAAATACTATAAGAGACTAAAAAATGTTAAGAATAAAAATAGCACTGAAATCAAATTCTTATTGCTGCTTCCTTAGAAGATGACAACTTATATAGTAATGGTGTAAAGGATAATTGGCAAAGTCAGATTGAAAAATTAAAAAAGAAACTTAATCTTCCATCATTAGATATAACTGATAACACATTCAGCACCTGCTTGAAGAATTTTTACATAAAAAATGTTAATTTGCAACTCCAGAACATTGAATTCTTTCCAAATGTGGTAAATTATTATTTTTCAGTCAAATTAGAAAGAATTATGAATTACAAGACTACTTAAAATATCCAATAAATAAAGCTATACGTTCTAAATTAACAAAACTGAGAATTTCTGCACATCCCTTGGAAATTGAAGTAGGCAGATATTCAAAGCCTTGTATCCCAAAAGAATCGCGTTTTTGTCACTATTGTAAAACTATTGTAGAAAGTGAAATACATTTCATATATGACTGTCCCTTATATATAGATTTGCGAAAAAAGTACTGTTCTTTGAACATCTGTAATTTAAACGATAACATATTGAAAGAAAATCATTGTAAAGTATTATGTAATCCTGACAATGCAGTTCATTCTAGAAGGCTGTGTGAATTTTTATATGAATGTTTTGAATTGCGTTCCAAAAATAAAGCACAATTATAATATATATGTTTAATGCATATATTAGCTTTCACTGTCCATATTATACTGCTTGCATAATGATTATGTTTAATCTTCAAGTTGTATACTCTGCATAGTTGACTTCACTGATCCATACACTTGCATGTATGTATTTTATTACTTGTCTTTTATATGTAACATGGTTGTATGCCAACATGTTTGGTGAATCAATAAAGAAATTGAAATTTTGCCATAAGGGAGCATATGTTAGGTACCATTCTTATAACTTTTGATTGAGAGAGATATGGCTTTCATATTTTTTGACATTTGCATTACCCAAAATATTTCTGAGCATGCTATGTATGCTATGAATTCTGAACCCTTGACATTCAGATTAACCTTATTTTATCAAAATAAAACTTGGTGATAATTTCTATATGACATATGTTATGGCGTTTATATTTGACACAATATGTCATAAAAAATTCAGATATTTGATAAAACTCTCTCAAATCAACTTATATTAGGCAAGATTTTTTCCCTTTATTTTGGGCTTACAAACCCGTCGCCACAAGTTTTTGAATTTTCAGGAAAAGGATTTTTTTCCCTCCCCATTTTGAATTTCAGTCGGGATCGAGATTTCAACTTTACAAACTCGTACTTCCGGTTTAAAATTAACATGGCGGGTAAATAAAGGTAGATCTGCAAATTGAAATTTCATAGCTGATATCAGGCTCATAGCTTGGTTTAGTAAAATATATCGAAAGCCTAGGATAGGAGTGCCAAAACGTGCCACCCGTTCAGAGGTGAGAGGACAAATAAAATGCGACTTTGTTGCACAATGACATACATGTCACTGGCGTCGGAAGCAAATTGAAAGGAGGGGGCTAATTTTAATAAAAAAAATTTTTTACCTTCAAAAAAAACCTTACAAGCAAAAAAAAAAAAAAAAAAAAAAGTTGGAAATGTCCATTTCCCCAAAGGCGAAAATCACCTACGATACAAGGTTCAATGTCTAAACTAGGTATACATTTGGAAAAAAAGTGGGGGGGGGGGCTAAGTGGCCCCCCCCCCCCTAGGGCTTTCCCCCGGTTCCGACGCCTATGCATGTTCAGGTCTATTCTCTTTAGAGAAGTGGACAGGCTTTCGCCTAGGTGAAAGCCTGTCGGACACACTTCTCTAAAGATTAAATAGTTCAGGTCCAGTACAATCACTAGATTTAGCTACGTAGCTTCATTTACCTACATAGCTTTATTTACCAACCTGAGGTAGCTTGATTTAGCTACCAAATCAATTTATTTCTACCGGTATATAAAAAAGCATTTTTCTCAGAGTGTGCAGAAAATATCATTTTGATGCAGTGATCATTTTCAACTTTGAACTCATATGAAAACAACTCATAAAAAATTCCCTCTTGAAAAAATGTCTATTTTCTGCGCAATTGCAATCAAAGTTTTGAAAGTTTTGGGGCTATGTATGACAGTTAGAACAGTTACTACTTGAATGAAATGACAAAGAAGTCCAGTTCCGGTTAACACGATAATAGGTCGGTAATTATTCAGCACAATGTGAAGTAATCATACTCAGTCATGCCTCACCGCCCTCACCGCATGGAAAGATAACCAAACAATGGAATTACTTGTTTTACTCTAAATTGACCAAACGCAGCAATGTTTAAGCTTGCTCTGCTTTGGATTGTTTTTTAAGCGTCCCAAGTATAAATATCAATATTCACTTAACTGCGATTTTTTTGTCTCTTTTTCATAAGAAGAAAATTTTTGAAAAGTAACCTTGAAATAGCTAAATAAAGCAACCAGAGGTAGGTAAATAAAGCTACGTAGGTAATTCTACCTGCGTAGCTAAATCTAGTGATTGTACTGGACCTGATGTTGGTGAGATAATCCGTATTAAAAAGTATCTGCTTTTAAATAATTTCCTCCCAGAGGTTAAAAACTGCCCATGGTAGCTATTGCCAGAGACATTGTTTATGTACATGTATTTGGTTTAGCTAATAGTTCAAGAAACATTCTCTTAGAAAATGATCACTTAAAGCCTTGTGCATCATGGCATTATTGCATCAGATGTAATAATTATGAATAAAACTGTGAGTGTGAGAGAAGTGAAGCCCATTTGAGGTTGAAATAAACAATAGCCTGAAGGAATGAAATACTAATTATTTCAATACGAAAACAAGTATATACAAAATTAATATAAACAGACATGTAGCATTGTTTTTGAAGTGGCAGCCAGAATAATTATCTTGCACTTAACTGATTTTTTTAACACCTTCTGTATACTCTCGGGGCCTTATGTGCCAGCGGGCACGAAGAGGACAGGTGAGGTGAGGTCTGTATACTCCCTGTTAGTTAGAATAATCTAACTGTGTCTCAGTACAAGCCCTCACCACATCTATTGTTAAACCGGGCAATAGAACGTTCTATCTAACTCCCTGTCTGTTATAATTGATAAGAATATTTACTTATGGTCCCAAGTATATTTTAAGAACAATTTGTAGACAATCACTTGAAATACATTTAAAAAAAATATATATATATATATATAAATTGAAAGCGTTCAAAAATTTGATTTTTTTTCTTTATAAAATTTGTAATTTGACCAATATCTAAAAATTTATATAACTATCCCCAACTGGGAGATGATGAAATAAACAAGTTAAGGTTCTACCTCCCTTTTTTTATAGGCACATAGCTAAAGAGGGGCCTGTTTTTTCTCAACATTACTTTTACATTTCCATTGAAAGGCTGGTTTGCCCCTCCCCCCTCCCCCCCCCCCCCACACACACACACACACTTTATACTGCAGGAAATTAATGTCGAGAAAATGTAGTAAGAAATGCCAAAAAAAAAAAAATGGTTCCCTCAAATTAAGTAGGTGTATATTTTTTTATTAAAAGAAAAATAAGTAACGTCAGGTGCCTGTGCTATAACCATGAATTATTGTACCTATATCATGTATATCTTGTTCATGTACCTCTCATTTTGTATATCTGTTTTTAGGAAATAAATGACGCAGCATCAACTTCAAATCAACCAGCAGGGAACTCTGGAGGGGGAATCTTGATAATGAGTGAAAAGAGGGTAAAGAAGAGGATAATAGTAGACGATTGTGAGAAAGGATTGATCCCTATAGAGACAATGAAACTACAGTTCAGGGACACGTCAGATATCACAGCTCCTATGGAATACGCTCCCCCGACCAAAAAACTCATGCATCTGAAGGAAAATAGGGATTTGGAAAAGTTGTTTTCTAGTCCAGGAAGGTCTGGTTTATCCCGGACTGCTTCTAAGGTATGAAAATCTTTATGTGTAAAATGATTTTATTGTTCAGCAGAGAGTTAATATTGAGTTTGTTGTTTTGTAAAAGAGTTAGTTACAAAACTACTTTTTATTCCCCTCACTGAGTCTGTGACAATGGATTCAGTCTGTAACTTACTTCTGTCTTCAGGACTACATTTATTTCTATGTATATATGAAGCAAATACATTTAAGCAATTTTTTGCCAATTTCTAGGGATGGATCTCAGAATGTTGTTCTAAGTAGCTAATATTTTCATATATTTAATTGCAGTCATTTTCTCGGAATCTCATAACAAAGGCAGTGGAGGAAGGAGTGGAGCCTGACCCCAATAATTTAGATCAGGAAGTCTTCAATTCCAACTTGGAGGAACAAGGTACTGGTCCACTGCTTCTTAGATTGTAATTGCCTTTAAAGACACAACACTACTGTTCTTATTGCCTCTTGCAAAATTTTTACCTGCAAGTCTTTGGGTCTAAATCAATGACATGGAAAGGCTGTCGCTCTTTTCACACTCACTATAAATTCAACACAAAAAAATTCTTATTCTCTAACAAGTATCTTCTGAATTTCAGTCACCCCTATTTGAATGTGATGAAATGTGAATTATTATTTACTCACAATACCTTTTTTTTTGGTTGAATTGCATGAGTTAGTACTCTCAAAAGTTTCAATTTTGCCCCCGAATCAAAATACCCTGGGGATATATTGTTTTTGTCCTGTCTGTCTGTTTGTCTTCCTGTTTGTCTGTTGTAAACTTATACCTTGCCTATAACTATTGGGCTGTCAAGGGTAAGGCTTTAATATTAATGTCCCCCTTCAAAGAAGGGGGGGGCATATTGCTTTGCTGCTGTCTGTCTGTTGGTCGGTCGGTCAGTTGACTTAGTCATTTTTTCACAACCGTTCCACATACTGAAATGAAATTTAGAATATACATATATATATATTGCTACATTCCACTCCAGAATTGTATTAAGTACCAGCAGGGGCCTAGACCTTCACAGATTCATCTTGTTGACACGCGACTGACAGCATTAAAGTTCAAAAAAGCTATTTTTAGCATGTAGGTCACAGTCAAGGTCACAAGGTCATTGATCTTGGTTTCATAAAGAACTTGATTAGTGGGGTATGCATACCAATTATCTCTTATGATTCAAAAGTTATGGTGAAAGATTGAAAAAGCTATTTTTTAGCATATATGTCACAGTCAAGGTCACAACGTCATTGATCTGCATAACATTTGAAAGAGCTTAAGTTGTGGATTATGCATACCAAATATGAAGTCTCTATCTCATGGTTCAGAAGTTATGGCGTAGGTTAAAGTTTACAACAAACAGATAGGACAAAAACAATAGAAGACCCAATCTGTCTATCTGGGCGCATAAAAACCCTGCATGATTACTGCTCATTTTCTTCATATTCATGTACTAAATATCTATGTTGCAAAAAAATTGGCAATTGGTGGTATAATAAAATCTATAGGAAACAGCTGATCTTAAATGAAAAGAAGCAATGAAAGACTTCAAAGTATAATGCACTGTAGTTTATTTTTCTACTACATGTATTAAGATGATCCTTTACAGGTACTTTCCTGGTGGAGGTTAGAATCAAAGAAGAATGTTTAGATGATCAGCTAGAGTTCCCCAGTGTGACGGATTCCCAGTCCTCTAGCTCCCCCATACAGAACTCAACAGGTATACAGAATGAGCAGGGGACTAACATACAGACCTGTACAGAACTACTGAATGAACATGGGGCTAACATACAGACCTGTTCAGATAAACAGGGGGAGCAGGGGACTAATATACAGACCATGACAGATCTACATGGGACTATGATGAACCTACAGACTGATCAAATCCAGGCAGAAGCTGTATTATGTGAATTGTCAACTAGTGTCCCACCTTAATCCTTAGTCCACTACCATCTCTATCAACACCACTGTAGATTAGACCCCAAGTTAACAAAAAAATCCAGGTCTAACTTTGACCCTGAAAAATTAAGGATTGAATGGAAAAATGAGCGTGAGAAAAGCAGAGGGCTCGTCAAGAACTTGGGAGAAGATGTAAAGGTATTGGATGTTACAAAGTTTTTTTACCGCCTAACCTAATCATGTATGAAAAGAAAAATGATTGATTGATTGATTGTATATTGTTTAATGTCCCTCTCCAGAATTTTTCACTCATATGGAGATGTCACCGTATGCTGGTGAAGGGCTTCAAATTTTGACTTTTACTTGGCACTCAGGGCCATTGAGCAGTGAGGGATCTTTATCGTGCCAACGCCTGCCGCTAACATGGGGCCTTGGTTTTTAGCTCACCTGAGCCGAAGGCTCAAGTGAGCTTTTCTGATCACATTTTGTCCGTCGTCCGTCCGTCTGTCTGTCCGTCTGTCCGTCTGTCTGTCCGTCTGTCCGTCTGTAAACTTTTCACATTTTCGACTTCTTCTCAAGAACCACTGGGCCAATTTTGACCAAACTTGGTACAAAGCATCCTTGGGTAAAGGGGAATTGAAATTGTAAAAATGAAGGGACATATCCCCTCGCAAGGGGAGATAATCAAGAAAAGACAAAAATAGGGTTGGGTCACTAAAAAATCTTCTTCTCAAGAACCACTGGGCCAGTAAAGCTGAAACTTATGAGGAAGCTTCCTGGGGTAGTGTAGATTCTAAATTGTTCAAATCATGACCCCCGGGGAAAGGGCGGGGCCACAATAGGGTATCAAAGTTTTACATAGAAATATATAGGAAAAATCTTTGAAAATCTTCTTCTCAAGAACCACTGGGCCAGAAAAGCTGAAACTTATGTGGAAGCATCCTGGTATAATGTAGATTCCAAATTGTTCAAATAATGACCCCCGGGGGAAGGGCGGGGCCACAATGGGGAATCAAAGTTTTATATAGAAATATATAGGAAAAATCTTTGAAAATCTTCTTCTCAAGAACCATTGGGCCAGAAAAGCTGAAACTTATGTGGAAGCATCCTGGTATAATGTAGATTTTAAATTGTTCCAATAATGACCCCCGGGGGAAGGGTGGGGCCACAATAGGGAATCAAAGTTTTATATAGAAATAGATAGGAAAAATCTTTGAAAATCTTCTTCTCAAGAACCACTGGGCCAGAAAAGCTGAAACTTATGTGGAAGCATCCTGGTATAGTGTAGATTCTAAATTGTTCAAATAATGACCCCCGGGGGAAGGGCGGGGCCACAATGGGGAATCAAAGTTTTATATAGAAATATACTTGAAAAATCTTTGAAAATCTTCTTCTCAAGAACCACTGGGCCAGAAAAAGTGAAGCTTATGTGGAAGCATTCTGGGGTAGTGTAGATTCTAAAGTGTAGGAATCATGACCCCCTGGGGAAGGGCGGGGCCATCATTGGGAATCAAAGTTTTACATAGAAATATATAGGAAAAATCTTTGAAAATCTTCTTCTCAGGAACCACTGGGCCAAAAAAGCTGAAACATATGTGCCCATGGAAGGATCATGGGGTAGTGTAGATTTCAAAATGTCTAAATTATGATCAGTGGGGTAGGGTGGGGATGCATTATGTATAACAAGGGGGAAATCTGGTAAAGAACAGAATGGTCAAAGCTTCTCAGGTGAGCGATGTGGCCCATGGGCCTCTTGTTAAGGTCTCATCTGAAGGACACGTAACTTTCACTTCAAAAGCCGAGCACATGGCGAAGGAACAGTTGCTACCCATTTTAACGACTAGGTCAGTTGCGGCCGAGATATGAACTCATGACCTCCCGATCACAGAGCAAGCACTCTACCAACTGAGCTACCATGAACGGTAAAAGAAAAATCATATTTGACCCAAGAGTCAAAGAAAATTCCAGTGGCCAGAACTTTTATCTAACAGTGTGTATTACAATTTGTTTTTGGTATGCTATAAATATTTATTATACCTCTATTTGTAATCCTCCATTTTTTTCATTTGTGTATCAGTATAATAAAACAGTTAAAAAGTAGGATATTATAGAGAGAAGTAGCAAGATTTCAGTTCCCCTTGATCAGAGGCTGTGCCTTGGGAAAAAGTCCTGGACATGTGGAACTGGAATTTTGCTAACACCCTCAATGATTTTGCTAACTCCCTCAATAATATACTTTATCTGTATACCATCATTAGTCTGATTGCTGTAATTAGCTAGTAGCTGAAGCTTCTAGCTAGCAGCTGAAAGTAGCTAAGGACCTGAAGAATTTTATATTTGCAAATTTTATTACAACATATTTTTTTTTAGTTTTGTCACACGTAAAGGTTAAATAATTTGTAAAAATCTTCAGAATTGAAAATAAAAGTAATTGTTCAAACATAGTAAATGTTTTTTTTTATCTTTGGAGTATTTATTCAATATTGCATACATAAGAATACAAATACATGTAAAATACATAGGAAAAAAAGAGATTTGTATAAATTATGAGTCAGTTTCACCAATGGAGACAAGTGGCATGGTTTTCAAATGGTATCTCATTAGTGCTCTGTTTCTTTGCCTAACTCAGTGTAGGTACTCGGAGACCTGCAAGAAAATCAACATCTAGCTTAACTCTGTTCATGGTGATGTGAGGCGACAATTACATGTACACAGGGTAAAGGAATTTTGAAAGAAAGAATAAGATAGTGTCTAGAAAGTGAAGGGAAAATACCTGAAATTTACCTTGCTTTAGGATTTTTAAAAATGTTTATTTGAAGAAGAAATAAGCAAACACCCCTCCTAAGGCTCTGCCCACTATTGGTAATGTGACGCCTACAGCAGCCATGGCACCTGTCAATCAAATAATGTCATTTTAGGCCAATATACCACCGTTTTTTGATGAATCCAATCAAAATACTGTAAATTCTGCATGGTTATAACACAAAGTGTAAAAGTTTGACAATTTCTTTCATGTTTAATTAACGATCTTGTTTGCATGACCATATAACTACATTGTACCTGGACTGTATCCTGTTTTAGCTGTAGCCTTTTGTCCCTTGTTATTTAGATACGTTGTTTCTGTGAAAGACTCTTTGATAGGTACCATGGCAGGTATCTGTTAAATAAGGAGAGTACTAGAGATTGAATTTATTGCACAGCAAACTTTGACTCCTAAACACAGAGAGGGGATCAGGTACCATAATGAAGTAAGCATCTCCTTTTGACTGGTTGGATTAGCTTTGAGGTCCTTGTCAATTTGGGGAGACAATTTATACAGAAAAGGTCAGATCAAACGGGAATAAAATGGAACTCTCTATAAGTTAATAAGGCCTTTTATTCAGTAATACTGCATTGTAAGTAGTAGATTTTAAGTCAATGCTGAGGAAAAAAGGTCAACATCATAATTACGGTAATAGGTATAAGTAAGTCATAATGGTATTCATTTTGTCTTTTAAAGTTAAATCAACTTAATACCGTAAGGTATAAGCCTAGGTCAAAATGAATGAAAAAAGAACACAAAAAATTATTTACATCAAACTGGATACATATACTGTACATACATTTGGGAAGGCTGTTTTGTCTAGAGCGATGGCGAATTGTGAGTTTTGGACTTTGGTCTGTAGCGTGTTGGCGGCAACACTTAGCGGTGTCTCTTTGATTACACTCTGTACGTCTCCGACAACTGGTGCCACGTCCAGGATCTCAAACGACACGATTATGTCTGTAGGACTGTAATATACCTGTAAATAGGTAAAGTGTTAATAAACTGAGACTTAGTGTTGCCACATCCAGGATCTCAAATGATACGATTATGTCCGGGGGAGTGTAATATACCTGTAAATAAGTAAAGTATTATTATGTCTGTAGGACTGTAATATACCTGTAAATAGGTGAAGTGTAATGTGATAGTTTTATGTCCGTGGGACTGTAATATACCTTTAAACAGGTAAAGTGTAATGTAATAGTTCTATTCCTAAATGATTCTCTCTGGCAGTTTTAAAACACTAAATTCAATTAAATTGGCATATAAGAAAAATAATGCCAGTTTTACAACCCTTAACAAGCAAATATTTGGCATGGCAACAATTATTTACGTCTAATTTATGTAAAATATGCAACTCTTATGTAGGAATCCATAAAACTAGAAACTTCCCTATGAAAGTGCTTTATTCAGTTACTTGTATCTACATGTAACAGGGTTATCTTGATACTGAAAGGACAAACTAAGCATTGTGCTTAAACTTTAACTTAAGTTATACTTACATTTAAGTTGGCTATCCTGATAACTGATACACTGAGAGTGGAAACAAGACTTTTGAGGATGTTGTACTTGAAGGTTTCAAGGTTCCCATCAACAGCTGATTTGTAATCTCCTATCAAAGGAAATTAAGAAATTGTTTGTTTGTTTTTTTATCAAACTGTAAGACAGTAAAAGGGCGATTTAATGATTAATGGTTGCATAAAAAAAAAAAAAAAATGTAATCCATTTTAGCACTTTTTCTTACTAATAAAAATATAATTTTCCAAATATATTGCGAGTAACTTTAAAACAAGAGGCCCACGGGCCTTATAGGTCACCTGAGTATCATGTAACAACTTTCCAGCGATTGTATTTGGTTCGTGTTTTAATCCAAAAGCCATGAAATTCACAAATTTTGAAGAAGGCACCATTGCTTATCAAAGGGCAGATTTCAAAGCATTAATTTATTTTTAGCTCTACTGGTCAGAGACCAGAAGAGCTTATGCGATAGTAATGCGTCCGGCGTCCGTCCGTCTGTCTGTCTGTAAACAATTTTTCAAAATGCTACTCCTCCTACAGTTTTGGTTTGATTTTAATATAACTTGGCACACAAGTAGACTACACTAAGATACATAATTCTGTGTATCGGTTTTTGATTTCGATGAACGGTTTTGCCGATGTTACTAAAAATAGAAATTTCTGTGAAATTCTTTCAAAATGCTACTCCTCCTACAGTTTTGGTTTGATTTTAATATTACTTGGCACACAAGTAGACTACACTAAGATACATAATTCTGTTTATCGGTTTTTGATTTCGATGAACGGTGTTGCCGTTGTTACTAAAAATAGAAATTTCTGTGAAATTCTTTCAAAATGTTATGTCTCCTACATTTTTGGCCTGATTTCAATATAACGTGGCCATCAAGTAGACTAAACTAAGATACACAATTCTGTGTATCGGTTTCTGACTGATGAACATTATTGCCTTGGTTACGAAAAATAGAAATTTCTGTTAATACTCTCAAAATGCCACTCCAATTACAGTAATTTTTAGTCTGATAATAATATATAATGTGGCATGCTAGTAGACTTCACTAAGAACATAGATTTAATAAAGGATCATTATTCTATTTATTGCTGTTGTAAAGTTTCAATTCCCAACTGCTTAAGTACTTTACTCTTCCTTTGCTATAAGTACAAACCAGTAGAGCTTCAGTCTCGACAGAGACTTCTGGTTATTGAACAGAGCCACAGAGATACAGGAGCAATACAAGATGGTGACTGTCAGAAAACTGGTTCTCAAGTATGGAGTTAACCGGGTACCAGACAAACAGTCCAATGAGGTGTGCTTGTTTTATTTACATGTAATCACTTACAAACAGTACACATGTACAAAATCTTCATTCAAAAACTTAATTATATTTCTAGATAATTATTTACAAGTTTTTAAAAGTAGATCTATTTGTAGGGCCATTATTTACATACATACAGCACACATGTACAAAATCTAGGTACAAAACTTATATCTGTTAATTCTATTTGTAGGACCTGATCAAGTACATCCTGGTCCAAGACAAGCATGACTGTGTACAGGACGCCCTGAGTGTGATGGAGGCATATGGTACAGGCGCGGATCCAGGAATTGGAGTAAGAGGGGGCGCCAACATTAGGCAAGGGGTCTGGGGGCCTGCTTGAGGCCCCCAGTGGGTCCAGGGCAAAGCCCTGGTGGGGGCCCAGGGGGCGAAGCCCCCGGAAGCTCCTGGATTTTAGAGATTTTGTAGGGTAAAAATGAGGTCTACCAATTAGACATATTTACATTTTCTAGACGAAACTGTGATTTACGCTAACTTTGACAATTTTAGGGGGGCGCGCGCCGGGTGCGCCCCCCCTTAAATCCGCCACTGCGGTAACACCGAGTACTAACAGGAAATCTGTCTCTTCAAGTGTAGACATCTCATTCACAAAAACAAGGCAAGATTACAAGATAATAAAGAAAAAATCTGTCTAACATTTGATGATCTCCTTGTCCATGAAATGATAGGAAAAACTAGGCATTAACTAAAAATTTTGGGTATATCTTAAATATAATTGCTGGAAAAAAATATTTTTGTGTGAAAAAAAATTTAGCCACTATGAAAAAGTTTTCCTCAAATAATGCAGTGGAAATCTTGTCAAATTCATTTCGCAACTCTAAAATTTAGAAGAAAAGATTCTTTCAAATTGGGTTTGAATTATTTTGGCAGTTTTTAAATAATTCTTAGATAGTGTTTTGTGTATGGAGAAATATCCTAAAACCTTGTGTTTTCTTATACAATGTACTACAGCAGCCTATATTGAGCAAAACAAAAAGTTTTCAGAAGCATACATTATAAAACACATCAAAGTTTAACTTATTTTCAATGGACATCCATTATTTTTTAATGGTAAAAGATATTATTTGATAATATGACTGATATATGTATTATTACAAGATTCCATAGTTAAACCATACTGATAAATCAGTTACATGTATATTACATACCTCTAATTGTACAACACAATAATGTAGATCACTGCAGATACATGTACATGTATTTAATTTCCTTCACTTGTCTATTTCCATATTGAGCAACAAACAGATTGTCATTTGTATCTATACACATTCCCCAGGGTCCACTCAGTACACAGTCTATGTAACGGAGGAACTGTCCATCCTGGTCTATGATGTGGACACAGTTATTGTTATAATCAGCTGTAAGGATGTGACCCTGACTGTCTGTGGTGATTCCTAGTGGATCGAATGGTCGGTTATTTGGAGCAGGAGTATGTCCAGTGTACCTGAATCTCAGTTTCCCGGCCTGATTGACCACCACTACTGCTTTAGCTCCAATGTCAGACACACAGATATCCTGGTTCTTGTTCTCTGTTATGTATCTTAGAATATAAGAACTAGGTTGATAGAGAGGTTTACCTTTATCATCAAACTGAATGGTTTGTTTCACTGTGGAGCCAGAGTAACGGACAACTTTTGTTTGTTTGCCATCATCACTTTCCATGATAACCAGGAGGTCACCAGAGGAGGTACTACAGACACCATTAGGTCTCCAGTTCTGTAGTCTGATCACCTCTATCTTCTCATTCTTCACAATGTTCACAGTTCTATCAATGTAATCAGTATAAACTAGATCTCCACTTTTTGTCACTGCTATGCTAGATGGCCAGATCCCTGACTTGGTTCTGATTGACTTGAGTAGTGATCCCTGATTGATGCTGTAGAGTTTCATGGTCTTGTCTTCTCCACTTGTCCAGATTTCTTCATCACTCAGACAGGCCACATTGTAAAGGTCATATTTATACCGAGTGTCTATGGTGGTGACAGTCTCTGTTTCATCAAGCAGCTGTTTGACTGGAGGAGAGGATCCAGCTTCTGGTGATTTCTGTGTTGTCTTCATGCTGTAGTCATGTTTATCTGATGTCAAAGAACTTGATGATATGGCTCCAAACAGCTTACTAAGTTCTTCTCCTTGGATTTTTCCTGGAATAAATTTAAGTAAAGATGGATTGATTTTGTGTGGAAGATTTCTGTATGTGTGTACATTGGACGTGACACTAAACAGTTTTGACAAATCATTGGTGTCTATTGTAGTTTCCAATGAATCGAATTCATCCTTGATGTCAGATATTGTCTTGTTTATTTCATCCAGATGTTTCTGTAGAGTTTGTAACTGTGTGTTTTTCATCTCATCAACTTCAGCTTTAAGTTTCTGGACAAGTTTGTCAATTTCTCTGTGCCAGTTCTCTCCATGTTTTGTTATGGCTGTTGAGAGATCTCCATATTCCTTTTCTAACTGACTCATTCTGTTTTGTACATCAGAGGCAATGTCCTGGTAGGTGGGATAAATTGTCTTATTTAATTCAGTCTGTTCTTTCATGAATTTAGTCTTTCTTTCATCCACAACTTTCAAGATTTCTGATACCTTATGACCTAGATGTTGATCAGATCCGATACACTTATGGCAGACAGGAATGTCACATTGATTACAGTACATTTTACATTGTTCTTTATCATGGAATTTACATCCAGGGTAGAGGGGGGTAGATTTCCTGGCCTGAAATTTAAGGACCCTGTGATCCTTGGATTCATCAGATATCATGTGTTTTCCTACACACGCTGTACACAGGTTGACAAGGCATGTATCACAGTGCATCTGTACCACAGCAGTCTCGCACAGGTCACATCGCATCACGTCCTGGGCACTGGTACGGGGGTCCATCATTAGATTTTGTGACTGAAGCATAAAAATTCAACATTTATGAATCTACATTTTTGAGTGAGTTTGAGGGCAACTTACATTTTTTTATACTCAAGAAACACAGTTTGACTTAGGCCAAAGGGAAATACAAATGTAAATTATATAAACAAGATCATTAACAAAACTTTGTATTACATTAAGGTTCATTTAAATTTTTGGGAATGAAATTTTAGCCTGTACTAATGAATTTTCAGTGACTCTGAACTTTTGTGCAAAGGAATACTTAAAACGTTTCTTACCTGACTTCAGTAATGGCCGCCCTGTTGATCGATCTCCAAGTACAGTCTCTATACACACTGATCACCTGACATACCTGTGTTATCTACCTGTCAGGTGTATTTACTTCCTGGTTAGAGGGGGATTTAAATACCTTCAACAACGGCTTGAATGCAGGAATTTTATTTATAAACCATTTCATGTTTTTTAATGCTCTAGAAAATATCATTGTTCCTACACATCTGAATATGTATAAAAAGATTAATTATTTTTTAATGAATTTTTTTTTTTTGGAAAAAACAATCTGTATTTTCCTTTTAACAAGCAAAGGAATCTGAAGTGCAGTTAAGTTTAAAAAAAATACTGTCAGATAGGATGGAATTTGAATCTAAAAAAAACAATTATTGTCCTCCTAAATGTTCTCCTCTGAAATGACTTGACCAAAGTAAATCATTAAAAGTTGCATCTCCATGGCCCTTTGAGCAAGCACGATGCCACAAGAGGAATTGAGTCATAATTTTATGTAAAAAAAATATGGGTGGGGGGGGGGAGTAAATAGAACAACAAAGAAATAAGCAATATGACATCAATAGTTATATGTACACAGAACCATGTAATATAGGGGCTTATTTGATTAAATTACATGTGGGGCCACAATTGCTGGTCAAAATTTAAGACGACAAGGTCAATAAGTCTTGAATATGAAGAAAGATGTGATAAAGATTCAGGAACTAAGTTGGGGTCACAATTTAGGATCAAAGTTTTTTTTATCTGCAGAAATAAACTGATTTTCTCAAGTTTTAATTAGAACAAAAATTTTCCTTTTTAGAAACTTGATTAAAAACCTTAATACAGTAAAACTCGTTTAGTACGAACACGGATATTGCAAATTCACGGATATAGCGAAGTCATCTAGGATCCCCAGCTTTATAAATCTAACGATTCCCTATACGGATGGATATAACAAATTACGGATATAGCGAAGTAATTTCATAGGTCCCAGCGACTTCATCATAACCGAGTTTTACTGTAAACTGAAATCTTCATTTGTTGAAGATGGTTTTCACAATTACTGTAAAGGATTAAATTAATCATCCAGGAAGCAGACTAAAGATTTTAATTTCTCTTAATGCTGAAGTCTGAGTATATATACTTTAATTTGTTAACCTCTCAATATTCTGTATTAACAGGTGGAAAATCAGACTGACTTTGTTCTCATGTTAAAAGGAGATGGTAATGCTTCAACCAGGAGTGCCAATAGTTTAAATTGACTGTGGCCTAAGTTAGACCTAAGGATAGGCACAAACAGTTCAGCTTTAGGAGAACCTGATGAGGAAGAGTTCCAGTAAGAAGGCTAACTGCAGCCATTGCCACACATGAAGGTAAGATAATGTGTTTACCGCTTACTCACTCTCTATTTATTTTAAATCCACTCAATTTGAAAAGTTGATTTTTTTTACCTTTATTTATTTTTTGTATTAGTAAAAGGTTTGAAGAAGGAGCTGCCTTAACCCAGCAGTGAAGCAGGATTTTACAGGAGTTTCCCCAGTCTTTGGAATTTAATCTGGAAAGGTATGCTAAAATTTAAAGCCGCTTGGTCGGATTCTAATCGCTAAAAAAATATAATCATTTTTCTTCTTGAAAAATAATTGTCCATAAATCATTTCAACTTTTGTCAAATTATATCCTCAAAGTCTTTTTCTTTTTAAAGATATCAAAATTCAAAAGTTAAAAAAATAATTTTTGTTAGGTCACACAAAAAATAATCCTTTGTTGATATTGCGTGAAATCACCTTCGAAAAATTAAATTTATTGCTTACATGTATAACTCATGAAGAACAAACCCGAGCATTTTTCCCACAATGTACACGGGCAATATTCTAGCCCTCGTTACTAAACTCCCTTTTTAAAAAAATCTTTAAAAATATCTGATTTTCCTTTATTCTGTAAATATGCATATTAATATAAAAATTACTATGGATTATATTCAGTTAATTTCTAAATTTTTAAAAGATATATCATGACTTAGGATTAAAATTTTCTCCGAAAAACAGGTTTTCAAAATGACACTCCTCCTACAGTTTTTGAGTGATTTCAATATTACTGTGCACACAAGTAGACTACACTAAGATACAAAATTCTCTGTATCGGTTTTTGATTTCGATGAATGGTGTTCGCGTGATTACTAAAAATAGACATTTCTGTAAAATACTTTCAAAATGCTACTTCTCCTATAGTTTTGTGTGATTTAGATATAACTTTGCACACAAGTAGACTTTACTAAGATACATAATTCTATGAAAAGGTTTTTGATTTCTATGAAAGATGTTGCCGTGTATTGGTTCCGTGTATCGGTTTTGATTTCAATGAACTGTGTTGCAGTAGTTACTAAAAATAGAAATTTCTATGAAATACTTTCAAAATGCTACTCCTCCTGCAGATTTGGTCTGATTCTATTATAACGTTGCACACAAGAATACTACATTAAGATACATTATTGTCGTTTTTGTTTTTCTTTTATTTTGATGAATGATGTTGCCATGGTAAATAAAATTGAAAATTCTTTAATTTTTTTTAAAAGCTACTCTCACAGTTGTAGTCTTATTGCAATCTTGCCATAAAAAGTGATTTAATCAAGGATCATTATTCTATTTATTGCTGATGTGAAGTTTCAAGTCCCAACTGCTACTTTTCTCTTCCTTTGTTATCAGTACAAACCAGTAGAGTTACAGTTTCGACAAATTCTTCTGGTTATTATCGGACGGCTTCAGGTAAATTTTTAGACTGCAGGAACAAAGGCATGAAATCACAGAAATGTTTTGATTTGCAATAGCAGACTATCATTGGTATATTTTCAACTTTTTACGTAATATCTGGACATTCAACTTCATAAGGATGACGATTTCAAATAAATGAGGGTTATGTTTTTAACGCTATTATTTTCACAGATATCTCTGCAGTTAAAGTCATTTGCTTGATGTAAATTATGTTAATACATGTAATTATGCAGAAACAAGGTGAATGCTTACTTTAAGATTTCCGATAAGAAAGTGCTAACAAGTATTATGTTACGATGGTGAGAAAACGACATAATTTATTTTAAAAATAACGAAATTAACAAAAACGCAGTTTTAAATTTATATTTATTGTGTACTTGTTTTGCATGAATGATATCATAGGAATAAAGGTGTTTTACTACGGTTTTTTCTTCGTTCAAATGAAAGCTTAATGATATATATAGTGATTAATTCAAATTTCCAAAAAGATTTTTTTTTTAATAAAATGTGGGGTTTTTTTTTTTTTTTTTTTTTTTTTGATAATTGATGGTGACAAGCACCCCAAAGAAGAGGTAATGAAAGAAAAATTATGACAAATGGTAATTTTAAAATTGAATTAATTAATTAATTATTTGTCATTGTACTAAAATTTTGTGTGACAAGGCTACACTAAGAAACAAATTGAAATTATAAGTTTTTGGTTGGACAATTTTGCCGTTGCTTGATGATGTAACTTTACAAATTTCTGTCCAAAAATTTTATTTATGCTATTCCTCCTATAGTTACCCTTCAATATAACTTTTCACACAAAAGAGGGGACTAAGATACATAATTATTTTTAGGTTTTTGAATTTGAAAGGGATGTTGCAGGCCATGCGGAAAAATAGAAATTTCAGGCCATTCTTTCAAAATGCTACTTCTACATAGGCTTTTCAAATAACTTGGCAGATGATTTTATGAAGATTTATAATTCTGTTGTCATATCGGTTTTTTTTTGATGAATTTAGTAAATAAATTAAACAGTGAAATAAAATGAATATTTTCAGTTTTGACTAAATATATTACACGTCACTTGGACATATATTCATAATCTCTGTGTGTTGGTGTTTCACAATTTAATTTTATTTATAATTTAAATTATCATATGAAAGATTTGTTTTATCTATCCTTTGACTCAAAAAAGATTAAAAATCTGTTTGTACATGAATTAAAATGCTGTTTATTGTATAAGTGATGCACGGCGGATATTTATGCATAACCCAGATGGTTTTTATGTGCTTAACCATAAAACAAGTAAAGGTATATTTCAGGGGTCTTTTACTTTCCCGTTAAAGATTCTTTTAAATCAAATGCTTTACAATTTTACTTCGCCCGTCTAACTGCCCGTTTATCCGTCTGTCTGTCTGCAACACTTTCGTTTCAGGCTTTGAGCTTTTGTAATAACATTTTATACCACACACCTTCCCATGGCTTAAGGTAAATCCCTATATGAATGAAAATAAATATTTCTTATTGATAAAACTTTGCTCATTTATTCAATCTTTACAAGGTTTTTATTTCATTTTGTAAAAGTCATTTGTAATACATTCCACTTCATTTGAGCGGTCTAATTCTTTTGAAAATCGAAAAATATATAATGCGTTCCGGGAAAAAATCGTTCTACCATGGCTTCATTTACATTCATAATTTTTTTACATGGCGGAAGTTGTTGATGTAGACGTTTTCAAATTAATTTTTCGCGAAAGGAATATTATTACAAAACGTTTTGTACTCTGAAAAGTAAGAAATCAACTTTAAATTGTTGAAAGATTTTGCAAATACTATGCAACTCTTCGCCGCTTTTCAAACATCGTCTGTTTACATGTGAATGACCAGCCACACGTTTTGTTGAATCTTGTAGGTTTTTTGAAATTGATTTCAGAATATCTCAAGAAATATAGGGAACTTCCAAAATATATATAAATGTTT